CCCTGTCAGGGGAAAGCGGGCACTGCTGCCTTTGGGCTTTGGAAACCAGGAAGAAAAAATAAATCAATCTTGGGCTTTACCCAGAAGTGACAGGGTAAATTAAAAACCTTGCCTGGTGGCAGCCTTGCTTGAAGGACTTGTGAAACTGCACAGAGACTTGCATAGGAAAAAACAAACCCCAGAGTAAAATGGCGAACAGGAGGTTCCTTCCTGCTTCGTATTGTTTTTCCAGTTACAGACAGGAAATAATCAAGTGTGTTTTCAAGCACAGAATGTCGAGCACAAAGAAGGCTCTGACAAAGCAGAAAAAACCCATATGTGAGACATTTACATCTGTGTAGCAAAATGTCTGATTGAAAATAACCTGAGCTAGCAAGTAGTAGTGTTATTGGATCCTTTTGTCCATTGTATTTTTTTGTCTTAGGTGATTGATAGATTTAATATGTTGTCCCCACCCTTTGCTTTCTTTATAATTAAAGAAAACTAATCAAAAATAACATACCTTAGTTAAAAAAAATTCTGTGACCAATGTAAATGCCTTTTGAATGGAAATCTTGATTGGTATTCTGCTTAATCACTGGGATTTCCTTGGTTAAAAGTCCCCTGTCTCTGGTAAGGACAAACACTCCCACAGCGTATCGATGTAGAAAGGACTGAATCTTGGGCCAGTGATGTTGAGGAGGGAGATCAGGCCTTTGGACTGCATGTTGTGGGAGTTGGGGATACTAGTGGTCCCTACAATTAAGGTGGGGGTAGCACAGCCCAATGAGGGAGTCTGTGTATGGAGAGGCACCCTTGCATGTGTGTTATATTCTGCAATCATGATCTGTCACTGAAAAAGAATCTTTCCTAGATAACCCATATTCATGGATTGGAAGCATTAGTATTAAAATGTTCACACTACTCAAAGCAGTCTGTAGATTTAATACAGTCCCTATCAAAATTCAAATAGCATTCTTCACAGAAATAGAAAAAATTTGAAAATTCATATGTAACTACAAAGGGTGCAGAATAGCAAAGCAGTCTGAGCATGAAGAACAAGACTGGAGGTATCACATATCAAATTTCTACTATAGTTTGAAAGTATAGTCTTTTTACACAGCTCACAGATATCAACATAAAATAGATTAAAGACGTAAATGTGAGACCTGAAACCATAAAACTCCCAGAAAAAAATAGGGAAAAAGCTTCTTGACATTGGTCTTGGCAGTAGTTTCACAGATAGACACCAAAAGCACTGGAAACAAAAGCAGAAATAAACAAGTGAAACTGTATCTAACCAAAAAGCTTCTGTGCAGCAAAGGAAACCAGTCAATGGAATGAAAAGGCAAAATGGAATGGGAGAGAATATTTGCAAAGCACATATCTGGTAAGGAGTTAATAGCCTAAGTACATAAGGACTTCATGTAACACAACAGCAAAAAAATAAATTCTGATTTTAAAAACAGGTGAAGGACCCTAAACAGACCTTTTCCCCAAAGACATACAAATGGGCAACAAGGACATGCAAAGGTGCTCAGCATCAGTCACCATGAGGGAAATGAAAATGAAAACCATAACGAGATAGTACTTCACCTGTTAAAATGGCTATCATTAGAGTGACAAGAAAGAGATAATACAAGCCGGCAAGAACATGGGAAAGTGGAACCTTTGCACGCAGCTGTTGGTGGAAATGTAGATTGGTACAGCGATTGTGGAAAACAGTGTGGCGTTGCCTCAGAAATTAATAGTCCCACTGCTAGGTCTGTAACCCAAGGAGATGAGATAGGTCTCTTCAAGAGCTGCCTGCACTCCTGTGTTCATTTCAGCACTACTCACAATAGTGAAAATGTGGAAAAGAACCCAAGTGTCTGTCACAGATGAATGGAGAAAGAAAATGTGCTGTGTACACACACACGCATGTACACAAGCACACATGCGCGCACACACACAGTCTTCCTCAGCCTTGAGAATGGAGAAGTTCCTACCATTTGCAACAACATGGATGAAGCTCAAGGATATTACGCTTAGTGAAAGGAGCCAAACAGAAAAGCAAGTACAGTGTGATCTTGCTTATAAGTGGAATTAAAAAAGGAAAAATTCGAACTCATAGAAACAGAGTAAAATAGTGGCTACCAGGAGCTGGAGCGTGAAGGAGGAAGTGGGGAGGTGCTAGTCAAAAGTCACATCTTTAGGTTTAAGATAAGTTCTGGGATCTAAAGTCAGCGTGGTGGTGGGAGTTAGCAATGCTTCATCATGTATGTGAAATCCTAAGCATGCTGACAACAGTAAGTACAGGTAGCTGCGCAGGTGTGATGGATGTGCTCATGAACCTGCTGTGAGGTACAGGTGTACCAGATCATCGCGTTGTGCACTTTATGCAGTTTTATTTGTCAGTTATGCTTCAGTAAAGCTGGGCTGGCGGGCAAGTGGTCTTTCCTGAATAACCAGGAAAGGTACTTTTTAATCGTTTCAGTAAACTTTAAATTCTGATTAAGAATTTAAAATGTTATCAAGGTACTAAAATTCACAAAGGCAGGAAACACATGGGTGACCTTATTTTTGAACAATGTTAACATTTTCATATAATATATTCCTTATATTTCTCAGCCTTCAGATACCATTCCAGGGAAAGTGATTCTAAATTTCAGGCAAAGGGTCTCATCATTAACTAGAAAGAGGTGCAGTAAATCACTGGGCTTCCTCGTGCTGGGGACCCAACCAGTGTGTTCTCTGTGCATTGGTGCAGTTGGTTGCTGGGCCTGTTGTTTCAGTGTTAAGTTAGACTTCACATGAAGCTTCTGCATCGAAACCACATCAAGTGTGTCAATAAAAATGAGGCGGACATGCTGTTTTTAAAAATTGGAAACTGGGCCTCCCCTGGTGGCGCAGCGGTTGAGCGCTGGACTGCGAGGCTGCCGGCAGCCTCTGCAGCGCTGGTTCGTTCCCCGGCTGCCAGCAAGGGTCCCACCAAAAAAATAAATAAATAAATGAAAATTGGAAACTGCACACATAGTTGAAGAAGCCAGACAACGGGAAAAGGCTCATCACAGAGAGCACCCACCCTGCTCTCCCAGCTGAGATCTTTCTACCCCTGTGGTAACTCCTTTCAAATTTAGCTTCTTATTCTGGTGTATACTCATGTCCATATTTATAAATACTTATCATTTATAATTAATATGCAAATATAAATAATATGCAAGCCAGAGGCTACTTGTACCAGGTATGTCCCTGCTGGGCTGACTCTTGGATCTCTGTAGGTCTGGTTGCTTGAGCTCATAGTCCGCTGGGCCCGGCTCCACTTCCCCAACTGGCACACCAGCCCGCGCCGGGCGCTCCAGCATTCCCAGGGACTGTGTGCCAAGCAAGGCCTGGGGTGATGTGGTCAGACCTGCTGCTTAAGAACTTGTTCATGGGGTTGACAGTTGGCTTCTGGGAGCTGGGCCTTGATCTGGTCTTCAGGCTCTGCTCCTCTGGACCTGGGAGACATTGAGTCACACCAGAGTCCTGCGTTCCTGGGAGGAGCCACTCCCACAGCCATCTCCCAGTTAACTGGGGCACTGTGTGACGACGGTGCTGGAATTCTCTGGGGCAGTGCCATTGCTGGAGCGTAGGCTGGAGGCTTGCACCGCCCTGCTCCTGTGGCTGGTGCTGGTCTGGGCTTAGCAGAGTCTTGAAGGGGGGCAGAGGAGGGTGTCCCATCCACGTCATGGCCAGCAGTTCAGTGCTGACCGCTTTCCTCTCCACGATACAGCAAGTGTTCCAGTCATTGATGCCTTCCCTCGAATGTTCAAGGCTAAACCAGACTTTTCCCTTTAAAGCTGTTCTTGTTCATTTCAATGGGAATTTGGAGGGGATGTTAAATGGCTTGACTTAAATTGCTGTTCGAAACAGAAGTCCAAAGTGGTATTGTGATTACAGTGATTCTGGTATATTGTGTGGCATGATGTTCTCTCTCCTACTGAACTGCAGAGCAAAATCTTAAGAAATTATTGTGTTCTGGCCATGGAAACTCAAGCAGCTCAGAATGCTCATCTGCTGACTGCTGGCCAACATGTTGATTTTCTGGAAAGGTCAGCAATGTTAGGAGCAGTTCTAAAGCAATAGAAGAGGGAAAGTTGTGAAAATATTTTATATCTTTTTAACATAGAGATGGAAAATCTGAAGTTGGGGCTACGCAGGTGTTCTTATTGTATATGTGTGATTGCATAATGTGCCTGGACTCATAGCAAACTTCCTTCAATAAGGCTGCGAAGCTGGGCCTCCCCAGTGGCACAGCGGGCTGAGCGCAGCGCTGTGAAGCTGTTCGCAGCCTCTGCCAGCGCGGGTTCAATTCCCGGCCGGCCAGGGAGATACCCACATGGCACAGCAGACCTCTCCTGACTCGCCCGCTGCTCCCCTCAGCAGTGTATTTCATCCATCTGCCTGTTCTGCTCCCTGCTCTGTCTCTGGTGAATCCTCTCACCCTCCAATGCCTCTGGCCTGTACCCCAGCTCTTGTATAAATAAAATAAATCTGAGTTAAAAAAAATAAGGCTGAGAAGCTCAGATGTGACCCTTTTAAGAACTGAAGTTTGATCTTTTCTATAGCAATCTTTTCTCAAAGTCTGGCCTGTAGGCCTTCTGCTATAGAATCCTGGGCAGGGAGGAGCTTCTTAGAAATGCAGGCTCTCACTTCAGGCCTGCTGATTTAGAGTCTATTGAGGTAAGGCCTGGAAAATGGCATTTTAACCCAGCACCTCCCCCACCCCAGCCCCTTGTGAGTCTGTGCGTGCCTAGTTTGAGAACAGTGGTGGAGATCTTTCGTTCTTGTTTGTCTGGAGTTGCTGTCTCTGCAAACTTTTGTTTATTTTTCTTTGGTTTTGTTTAAGTTGCCCTCTGGTGTAAAAATTGGTCATTTTTCTCCCCTTATCATTCATTTCTACCTGTTTTCTTTTAAACTTCAGGATAATATTTATTACATTTCCTGAGTTGCTTTTCATTTCTGGATTTCTAACTATGAACTTTTCATTTTTCCCACAGAGCTGAGAAAACAGAAGTACTCAGTGAAGATCTTTTGCAGGTAATGCTCTGTTTAAAGGCATATCAAGCAAAAAATCCATAGGCAAGAACCAAAGCTTGTGGTTTTTATTTTTCACCTGAAACAAGAAAATTGATTAGCATGGTTTTGATCAGGAAAGAAAAGCAGTAGGGCTGCACAGTCATTCAAAGAGGATCTGAAACTCTGGTGTCATGTTGTAAAGTTCAGATGGGGTTCATCCTGCTTCCAGCGCCAGGTGGAGGCTGGGGCGGGGAGGGGCCCTGCCAGTAGCCCATGGCCCTGCGTCCCTGTCACTGGTCCTGGGCCGGCCAGGGACTAGGTTCCCTGCTGTGGTGAGGCCCCTGGTGAGACAGGCCCTGCAGCTGCAGCGGAGACCCCACAGGCTCCCATCTAGTTTTGTCTGTCACTCCCTTTCTCGCTGCTGTTCCCCATGTCTGGCCTGAGTCTCAGCGACAGTGACCATCTGTCAGATCCCCCGGATGGTCTCAAGTCATCAGCCAGGGGGTGCTCACAGGCATGACTTAGAAAATGCTGCTTCCACCACACCCTAAACACACTGCCTTCTGCAGATGGGAGATTTGCTGAACAATTTTTTTCTTTTTTTGAGAACTAGAAGTTTTTTTCATCCAGGATTAGGGTATTTTTAAAAATTTATTAAAGAATCATTAACAGTGTTTCCTCATTGGTTTACATATTCCAAATTCGCTTTCAGAAATATAGTTTGTTTATCAGCTCTCACTCCATGGAGATGTCATGTGGGCAGTCTTCCTCCCCCTGCCCCCATCACTGACATATGGGCTCTCGCTTCGTGCAGGAAGTGCTGAGAGGAGGCCAGGCCCTCGTGGGCAGTTTGGGGATGCAAGTCTCATGGAGCCCAGGCCTCGACTGTCTGTGTCCCTTTGTCCAGATGTCCACTGGGGCCTGCAGAGTTAGCCAATTTCTAGAAATTCCTGTGTCTGCCATCGTGGCTGCCATGTCTTCCTGCCCTGATTTCTGGCCTTTTAACTATTAAGAAGGGAAGTAGTGGTTAAAGGAGTGGAGTCCAGTGCCCAGCTGCCTGCTTGCCCATCAAAGATCTGCCCGAATTAGCTTTCTGGTCTCAAGGATTGTCTTGGCCTCCCTGTGCCTCAGTTTCCAGGCTCTAGCATGAGGGCGGTATTCATCCCTAGGGTTGTTAGGAGGGTTTAGAGGTAAGTCTGGAAAGCACTGGAAATGTGTCATTTTGTTTTGGAGTGAAACTCCCTTAACTTGCTAGGTGTCTCCTACCTCTTTTCTGTGATCTCTGTTAAAGCAGTTCAGGAGGCTGCCTGTTGATTCTGCTTGGATGGAGTTTCCCCAGGAGGCTGTGAGCCCCAGGGGGTGGGAACCACAGCATGTTTACTGTTGATTTTTTAATACCTTGCACAAGGACTCAATATAGGCTCGTCCTTTCAACAAATACAAAGGGAATACCTTCTGTTCCTGTGCCAGTGTTCCTGCCATGCAGGAGACATCAGTGAACCCCCAGACCCAGGTTCCCATCCCCAGGGCTTTACATTCTAGTGGGAATGGGAATCAGAAGGTATGGAGTGTCAGGTTGGTTCTTTTTTTTTTTTCCCCCCCCCTTTGGGCACATGTCTATTCGCTTTCCAGTATTATAAAGTCTGGCTGTCCTAAGGTTGGGAAGGGGACATGCTCTGCTCCTTGGTGTAGATGTGCCGGGCAGATCTCCTAGATCTGAGAAAAGCTGGGCAGTGAGGACCTTTGAGAAAGAGGCACAAAACTGTCTCCAGGACTGAGATGTTTGGTGAGATGTTTGAGGGTAGAAATGCATTCTGCTTTGAATTTGTTGATTTTTCTTTAAAATAGAAAGCATCCCTGAGGGCCTGTTCTCATCCTTAATGAGTCATCAGAATACACATTTTTGGCATTCCTTCCTGTAAAAAGCAGGGGTTTTTTTGCCATAAACAGCCATATCCCAGCAATAATATTTTGGGAAGCTAATCATGATGCGTGGGGTCTGCTAAATCAGTGTTTCTTAGTGCTGGCCATTCTGCCTTAGAGGTTTACTTGCAGGATTAAAAAAAAGAACAGAGTCAAAACAAAAAGCCATCCTACACCAATAAGGGATAATTTTTGAAGACTCTGGTCTTGAGTTTAAATTGCGGAACATTTATTTTGACTCTTCTGGCTGATGTGCTGATGTTTGGAAGGATCCCCGCTCAACTGGGTCTGGTTCTGGGCCCAGGCTGTTTCTTCGCAGTTCTGCTGGCACTCTAGCACGTGACTCAACTGCCCCCACACTCTGATAGCAGGTCTCAGCAGGACCGTCCCCTCTTGCCGCACAGATTTGGCCTTTAAAGGCCCTGAGCCCCTCAGTGTAAAGGCAGTCAATGGTTTTCAGCTAGAACCAGGGGCAGCTTTGACCCTTGGGAGCATATTTGACTATGTCTGAGGACAGTGCAGGCTGTCACACCTGAGGGAGGGGATACTGCTGACTACTGTCCGGTAGAGAGAGGCCCAAGACATGTGAAAAGACCGAGCTCTCCCCACAACTCAGCATGATCTGGCCTCCAACATCAGTAAACTCTGGTTTGGGAACCAGTTCCACTGACACCCAGAAGCTGACAAGTTAAGCCACGGGACGCCACTCCTGCCGGCTTGCAGGCTTCCCGGGGAAGAGGCTGCGCTGTCGTGGCACCACCAACCCTCTAACGTCTGTCTCCCCAGATTGAGCGGCGCCTGGATACAGTGCGGTCAATGTGCCACCAGTCCCACAAACGCCTGATCGCCTGCTTCCAGGGCCAGCATGGCACGGATGCCGAGCGCAGACACGTGAGTGTGGGGCATTGCTGGGGAGGGGGGAGCTTTCACCCGGCCAGCTGGCTTTTCCCAAGAAGCAGCAGCAGAGTTGCCTACAGGTTAGTGCCTTGTATCTCTGTTCACACCCACGACACCGGCCTGACCAGAACATTCCTCTGTGCTTAGCACACCACGGAGCTGGAAGCTCTGCTCACATTGACTTTTCTCCAGGTTCTCTTAAAGCCATTTGTCACTGATAAGAGGAATGGACACATCGATTAGGAATCCTTTGGCAAAAGCTGAAAACTCTGTCTTAAATTGACGTAGAAAGTAGAAGCAATTTATTGATTTTCTAACTGAAAAGTCTAGAAATTGGCATAGAGTAAAGTAAGACTTGGTCTGGCATTTCAGTGATGTAACCAAGAATCCAGTTCCTGCCCTTCCCTCTCCTCTGTCATCTTCACTGTTTGCTTTCTCCTTAATGGTTACCCTTCTGGGTAGCAGCTTGGCTTCCGGCAGCTTCCCGGGCTGCGTGTCTCTTTGTGTGTGTCCAGCAGGAATAAAGAGCACACTTCCAGTAGGTTTCTTAATGGAATGGGAAAATATCTTTTCCCAAGCCCTTGGCAAGAAGAAATCTCTTTCCACCTCACTGATCTGTATCGCGTCACATTCTCATCCCACCCTTGTTACCATGGGCAGAGGTAAGGATCCGGCGAGGAGGTGGGCTGTGCTGACATGCTTAAGCTAATACAGGTGCAGCCTCAGGGCACAAGTGTGGGCCTACCTCCAGTTCATAGGCTCTGTCAAGACCAATAGATCCTAAGGAAAACCAGGATACTGTTCTAGAGAGGAAGTAGGATGGACACAGGGACTGTCTACTCTGCATTTATTCAGAGCACCCCGTAGACTACCAGTAGAGCAGCAGTTCTCTCTCCCGAGGCAGTACTGGCCTTGGTTTATAGGTTCCCAGCTTGTCAGCACACACTTGCCCTTCGAAGCCCGTGTAATATTGAGGTGATAGCTTCAGTGGCACACAAGGAAGCTATGACTTGCCGTATTGTTTTGTTTGTCACCAGATGTCTCAAAAGGAAGACGTGGCATGCAGGTGATGGGTGCCCCCTCTCCTGTATACTTCCTATAGGCATGGACGGGGCATCTTGACCGCAGGGTTACTCCCTCTCTTGCACCATACTTAAGATTCCACAGTTGAGTGTATCAGAGAGTGGAAGTTTACATACACCTACGGTTCCAAGAAGGTGCTCTGGGCCCGTCCATCAGAACCGGACCATCCACTGGGCCTGCCCCTGCTGCTGCTGCTGATACTCATGCCCCGGTTTCTCCTCTGCCTGCCTTTTACGTATTGTTTTCTAAGGTTCTGTCCTTCTCCTCTTTAGCCTTGCATCCACATTCCTGGGCCAGTTCTCTATCCTTGAGGCTTCTAACTGGCATGTTTATGACAGAGACTTACGAACCATTTTCAACCAGGCAAAAACTTCCTCCCCTATCCGTCATTTTAGCATGCATAACCAGTTCTTCCTTCTGGGTTGACTCTTGAATTCCACCCGATTATGCAAGATAGAAACTGTGGGGTTAAGCCTTTCATCCTCATCCTCTCATAGCTATTTGATTAGCTAGCCCCATGTTTTTCTCTGAATCCCTCACTCCATCTGTTCCACCTTTGCCTTGATGCAAGACCTGATTACCTCTCACCTGGGGTGTTTCTGTTACCTCCTGAGCTGCCTTTCCTGTCTCCATTTCTCTCTCTTTTCCAGTCTGTCTTCAACCTAGCCACCAGACTTGGTTTCCTGAATACAAATTAATTCTTATAGGCTCTTGCCTAAAAAAAAAAAAAAAAAATCTTAAGTGGTTTTCAACAAGGACCTGAATTACACTCCTAGGGATATCAGGAAATGTGGGAGACATTGTTGGTTGCCCAAAAGACTGGGGGACAATATTGGAGGGTGGGCACCAAGATGCTAAACTTTCTGCTGTGCCTGGAAGAGAGAGCCCCACAGAAAGTATCCCCTAATGCCCATGCCACCTCTTTTGAGGGATACTGGCTGGTTCCCATTGCCTGGGTTGAAGTCCAAGCTCTCCAGCATGACTGAAGCCCTCCATAATCTGATAGCATTGATGATGAAAGCATCATCAATCTCCTTGTCACCCCCTGCTCCCAATGTCCCTCACTCACTTATGTGTTGTTCCTTTTGTCTGCTGAGGCCCAGCCCAGATATCATGTATATTCATTTAAAACAAATAAATTTTAAAAAGTTTATGAAAAACCTATGTACTAGTGTTGGAGACACAAAATGAGTGAGATAGGGTCTCTGCCTTAAAGGTGCTCGTGTAGATGAGCACAAGTAGATATTAGAAAGCAGCAAAACATGCACAGGGTATTATGGGAGGACCAAGAATGGGCACCAAGGAGAGGGGTATCAGGTGAAACTTCTGGAGGAGGTGGTAACCCAGCTATAAAGGAGGGAAAAGATTGGCAGGTGATGGGTATGTTCCAGGCAGAGACCTGGCCCTTATTTCTAAAACCTGATGCCTTAACCTTCTTTTCCAACTTCAAACATGAGTGTCAAAGACGAAGCTCTGAGCATGCCTACACTCTGCATGTGGGAAGAGCAGTCGCCATGGAAACAATAAGAGTTGGATGATCACAAGAGGGTCTGTAATATGGAGAAAATCACATAGTCTCTAGGACTGTAGAACCTAGAGGGGGAGCCTCCCAAAGGGCCCACTGTGCAAAGAGGCGAGAAGCGAAGGGAGGAGAGATGGAGCAGGGTGGCCTTCCCTGCCCAAGCCATCAGCATGGCAGAGCCTACATTATGGGTCATATTAGACCTGCTGTTACTTTTTTTTTTGTGCATGGATTATATAAATGATGGCTTTTTAAACAAAGCCCTGGTGATACATCAGCCCTTTCTGTGGAGTTGGAGGTAGGTAAACAATGTCTTCATTAATGGACACATGTGTTGAGCAGGAGAATGTCCTTCCTTGTGGCATTAGGACACAGAGCTGTTGTGACTTGGGCTGGGAAACCACAGGCTATTAACTGTGGGACCTGAATCACACTTGTCAACAGACTCCTTTTTTCCTGATTGTTTTTCTTCCATCAATTCATTGAACTCTCCAGAGTTGCACAAAGCATATATCTCCAGATGATTGCATTTATCCTACATTTAAGTTCCCTTAGAAAAGCAGCATAACTAAAATGTGCAAATTATCCTCCGTGATGAGTGACGCGCACTGCCCATTTTCTGCTTTCTTTCTAGTCTAGAAGTGTGGAAGCCTGGAATGATTTCCAGGGGCCAGGGAGGAAGTGCTGTCTGTTAATTATTTATTTGTAAATAACTTGGGGGTGGAAGAGATAGGCAAATACATTTATAGCTATTTATATTATTAATTTTTAAATTTCAGTTTACTGTTTTGAATATGCTATACATTGACGTGGCCAAAATCCAAAATATACAGAAGAGCAGACAGTGAAGTCTCTCTCAGTCCTCTTCCCTGGAGACCCTGGTTCCCTCTCCAGAACCTCCAGTGTAGGCAGTTTCTTGAATACCGTCCACGAATATTCTCTACATACAAGCAAATACATGTATAAGTATCAGATGGAGCCCTTTGAAAGCAAGAAAGACAGCTGATGGGCCAGAAGTCAAGGCTGTAGCAGAGGGAGAGGTGTCTTTGGCATGGGTGCCCTTTCTACTGGGGTGCCGCGGCATGGAAAACAATTTTTATTAGCATTATGGTATTAAATCCAGCTCCCTTGTTACTTTCCAGGCCTCTTCTACCCACATTCTCAGATAAGCCATCAACCAGTGACAAAGAGACACTGAACTGGGGCTCAGGCCTCAACCTGGGGCTGGCTCTGTCGTCCAGTTACTAATGTCGTCCAGTTACTAATGTCGTCCAGTTACTAATTACTAATTAGCATCACTGATGCTAATCAGAAGATCCTGTGGTCATTCCCAGCTGGATAGCAAGTCTCTGATAGGAAAATGGGTGACTTCGTGGTTAAAAACTTTAGGGACACTACTTTTGACATTCAACAAGATCTTTTTAGATATTTAACTACAGCTTTCTTTAGCTGATTACAGCCAAACTAAGAGCTGATAGAAGAATGAGTAGTCTATCAAGTTCTGTAAATTCATCAATTTTTTTTCATTTATTTGTCATGATAATCAGACAGCAAGATCTGTGTCTTACGTCCCCAGTGCCTGGGACAAAGCGTATACAGTGGACTCACTCATAATTATAGTAACAACAATAACAGCAACTAACATTTACTGAGGACTTGACTTTGAGAGTCTGCTGTAGTTGGCAGCCCTAGAACACACACTCTCCTTCCCCCAGTGTCCAGGAGTGAGGAATCTGACACAGAGACCCAGTCACACGCCCCACACCTTCGAGGCCAGATCCTGAACCCACATGGTCCGCCTCTTCCCATGCAGTTTGCTGAGAGGAGAAAATGTTGAGTGATGCTCTGAATCAAGTATTTAACAGTGGGTGTCCATAATAATGAAAACACACTGTTTTCCACCTTTCAGAAAAAACTCCCCCTGACAGCTCTGGCTCAGAATGTGCAAGAAGCATCGACCCAGCTGGAAGACTCTCTTCTGGGGTAAGAGCCACCCCTCTCAGAAAGAGCCAGGTGCCTGCAGGCCCGGAGGGGTGGATGGCTGGGTGAGGAGGTGGCCACGTGTGATCAGAGGGACCGTGAGCACGATGGGGTGGCTCATCCGACAGGAGAGCAGCTCAGGCTGGGGGCTGGAAGACCTCCCCTTCAGGGGACACCAGGATGGAGGCTACAGAGGGCTGCCAAAAGCAATTGACAGGCTCCGTATTTACCGCCCTAGGCTTGGGTATGAAGAGCTGTGTCCCTAACCTGTTCCAGGTGTCAGCTCAGATTTATGAGCTCTGACTAAGCCCCTCCAGCCCTTACAAGTCTCTGCCCTTGTGGGAGGCCACCAGAGTGTCAGAACAGTGTATTTTCTGAATCATTTGGATTTTTTTCCCCCACAGTGGGCATGTATTATAACTTAAGATCTAATGACAAAGCTGTTTTTTGTTGTGTGAGGGAAGATTTACCCTTCTTTCCTGCGCCCTTCAACGCTGTGTGCTCTCTCCTGCTGTCCGTGGGCCCGCATGCCCCTGGGCACAGCCCGTGGCCTCTCTGCCCGTCCCCTGGGTCTCCCACATGGTGTGTCCTCCTGTTCTCCCTGGTTCTTAGAAGGATAACAGTTTCCTCTTCTTCACTCTTCCCCCTTCCATATTTGGAAGAGGAGGGTAGCATGGATGTGTTTCCTGTTCCGTCTTCCTCGTACTGGTGCCCTTATCACCACACTTGCGGGCACTGAGCTTGCACGTGCTGCCACTCTTCTAAGTGTTTTCCAAGTAGCACCTTATCGAATCCTCAGAACAACACAGGAGGGGTAATAGTCACACCCCACTTTACAGATGAGGAAGTTGACAGAGAGGCTAAGTAAATTGCCCAAGACCACATGGCTGGTAAACAGCAAAGCCTTTTTGCAAGCTCACGATCACTGGCACCAGAAATCATGTTTATAACTACAGATCTCACAGCCACCCGGGCCAGCACCACACATGTCTCATCCCAGCCCCATGGAGAGGGAGAGGGGAGGAAGGGAGAGTGAGGACGAGGAGGAGGGCAGAGATGTGCAGTGGCCGCATTTGCTTGTGTCCTTTATGTGACCTGTCCACATGCTCACAGGAAAGCAAAAGGAAACGTGCTTTTCATGACACGTGGCCTTCACAATGGCCTGCTACTCTCTGTCCAGTGGAAACCAGCCCTGTCCGAATGTGGGAGGAAACCTTGCCCAGGCCAGACTCGCTCACAGACAAAACACACAGCGAACTTGACTTAAGAGCTTTGAGGGTGCTTGTGAGACTTGGTTTCCACCTGCCCTGAGAAGCCCCTTGAGTGATCTGTGCTCGCATGAGCCCGCACACAAGTGCTAGGTGGACCTGAGACCATCTTTCTCCTCTTAGAGCACAAGGCTGTGGGCTCAGGTTCTGGGTGTTGCCCCAAGCACCCTGGTGTGCTCCCCTTGCACTGGGCAGAGCTGGCTCAGTGTGGTGTTGAGCGCCTGGGGTCAGGAACACGTGCTTCTAGTAGGTCATCTTGTCTTTAAAGGAAGATGCTGGAGACATGTGGGGACGCTGAGAATCAGCTGGCCCTGGAGCTCTCGCAGCACGAAGTCTTTATTGAGAAGGAGATCGTGGACCCACTGTGCACCATCGCTGAGGTGGGTGCTTTCCCGGGGCAGCAGGGAAGAGCCACGACGCGCAGATTGGACCAGGAATTGTTCACTTGTGTCCAAAATTTGAACAATAATAGTGGCTTTGATAGTGTCTTCTTTTTGGGAATAAGGGAAGGAAATTGAGGGCATAAAATCTTTTGCCTAAGGGAAAAAAAATGTAAATAAATGTCACACCTTCAAGCATTAAGTTCAAAACCTCAGAGCTGGTCCCATCTGGTATGTGTATGTCCCTCTTTCTAGGTGGAAATTCCCAACATCCAAAAACAGAGGAAACAGCTTGCTAAATTGGTGCTAGACTGGGATTCGGTCAGAACCAGGTAAGGTGGAGCTGTAAAATTAACCAGTAACTAACTAGTATTATGCCACATCCCCGGCAACCATCCCTACCTGCATCGCTGATGAGGATGAGAATTGTCAGAGGGTCACGCCCTTGACCCGGAGAGCCAGCCAGCCAGACACCAGTTTTTAGGCCTCATTCTCCCAAACATGGCAGTGGGGCTGTAAGAACATCTGTTCACTGTGAACCAACAGTGAAAGCAAATAGGAAAAAGACAAGTGAGTGTTTTAAAGGCAGATCTTTCCAGGAGCCTTGCTGTTGGCAGAGTGCAGTGTAGGTATAGATGTGTGATCTCAGCCATTCCCCAAGCCCTTTGTGTCAAAGACCCCATGCGGTTGTGACTACCCTCCGCCATCAAGAAATGCTTTCAAAAGGGATGAGCTCCAACAGCAAAGGAAGCATCCCGGAGGACTGCATCTTGTGGTTGTCATCAGAGAGCCAGTCTGTAGAGCTCCTTGGCAGGACCCCAGCCTTCCCTCCACCCTCAAGGGCATTTGTATCAGTGACCTAAAGTGGCTTTCTCCTTGGTTGTATGAGAGTTGGGAATAGGGAGGCAGTCGGCATTGGCTAGCCCTTTCTTCTACTTGGTCACAAGGGCTGACAGACTTTGTCTGTTAAGGGCCAGTTTGTCAGTATGTTCATCTCTGCAACCCACTGCAACCATTCAACTCAGCTGTGCTGGCAGGAAAGCCGCAGAAACTGCATAATGAATGGACATGCCTGTGTGCCAATAAAACTTTATTTACAAAGACAGGCAGCTTTGTTGATCCCTGCTTTGTTAGCTCTTTTAATCCTCATTGTAGTTCTGTGAAGTAGATATGAGTATGTGTTTGTCAAATACAGGGAGATGCAGCTATCATTTACTGACTACCTTGCAGATTTAGAAAATCTATGAAAATCCTGCATTTCCTTGTTTTCAAGAGGCCATTGATGCAGCACTGATTTCTGGGGTAAAAAAGAAACACCACTCCATCAAATATACAAACCAATTATTAAGACGTGTTCTGATTTAAGTAATGTTGAGCTGATAGGAGGGACATCTAGCAATAAATGTATGGCGAGGTGATGGTTACCACCACTTATTGGCACATGTCACGCATCCAGCTACATACAAGTTGGGTCAGCTCATCGGATTTGCTCAGCAAACCCTAGTCACGAAACAAGCTCATGCTTGATTTCAACAGATAGCATTTGGGTGCTCACTGTGCACAAGTGCTGGATACCAAATGCAGCAGCCCTTGAGTGAGAACTGGAGGGGGCACAGGGCTCAGGAGGTGATGTAACATCCCTCACTTTTGAGAGGAGACTTGCTTTACAGATAAGAGAGGAAACTCTATAAAGTGGCCACAGGACTTGCTTCATGCCTTAGAGAGAGCAAATGGCAGGGTATGATTCTGACTACAGAGTCTAACGTCTCCTGATTACATGTACCCTGTGATTAGCTCTTCTGAGCAAGGACCAAGGCCAGGGAGTAGAGGCCACCTTGAGGTTTGGTTTTTGCTCAGCGCAAGGAAGAGTGTTCTAATGGCTACTTAAGCAAGGCCACGCATGCTGGCGGATAGTGAGCCTGCCTGCCTGGGGTTTTATATCTGCAGTGCCTGCACCCCTGGAGGTTTCTGCGTTGCAACTCCATCCTGCATTACTGGTCTCATTCACTTCAATACTCAAAGTAGGCACTGGAGAAACTGAGACAGTTGACTGTTTCTTTACTTTTACTTATTCCTGTGACTTTTCCCTGGAGGAAAATGGTAATTGCTAACATTAAGTAGGAGTCCCTTATCTGTCAGACATTATATGCACACGTGCTGCAGGCCACACACACACACACCTCTCTCACTCACTCACTCACTCACTCACTCACTCACTCACTCACTCACTCTACTCTTATGACAGTTCTGCAAGGCAAGCAGGTGTTACCTTAGTTTTCCAGGTGGGCCAGCTGAGGTGCAGAGAAGTTATTGCACAAGGTCCCACTGCTAGTGAAGGCAGAGCCCATCTTCACACTTGAGCATGTCAGACTCCAAAGTCACATTCTGTCTGCTACACAGCATCGCCAGTATTGCCTTGGCGGGCATGCTGAAGCTGTTCTGCAAGAGCGCCTTGCTACAGGACATGGATCAGGGCAGATAGAGCATTGGGGGCAATGCAGCAGTCAGGGAGCTTGCAAAGTTGCTGCCCAGGGCTTTCATGCTGCATCTCTATGATACCCATGTTTAAAGCTACAGTGTTGTAACTACACAATGGCAGACATGCCTTATTCAGGTAGGTCAAAGAACACATGGAAACAGAAAATGTTTTAGAGTAGTACCCCAGGGATTCCCTCTGTGATTGCTACAGTATGATCCCCCACACCCATCCTTTGACTCACTCAAAAGGGAATGTAAATATTCCTCATTATGTTTCAGATTTGCTGTAGATATTGTCTTTAGAATATTGGTTCTTACAAGTGTTTTTACTGCTTAATGCACATATATAACTATTGATTGCTACCTGCATGGCTGCAGCTCTGACTTTTTCTTGCTGGTAGTAATTACAGGTCAGGAAGGAAGCAGGAAGGGTCATAAGGGGTCCTCAGGGTCAGGGACTAACTCCGAGGCACAGGATTTGATTTTATTCTAGATCAAAGCAGGGAAGCAAGGGATGGCTCTTAACAAGGATTCCATGATCAGACACTACAGGAAGGGGATTTCATGGATTGATTTTAGCAGTGGAGAGCATGTGAGACAAGATGTGGTTGATTGTGCTCAGCAGATAGGTGCTCCCAGCACTATGAGAGTCCTGAGTGGCGGCAACTAATGCCTCTTGTGTCCTTCCTTCCTCAGAGGAAAAACTCGCAGGAAGCAGGTGTCTGAAGTCATACCCACCCAGGTAGAGTCCACCTGGGGAAAGGAGTCCATCTCCTCTAGGTCCAGGACTCCTCAAGGTTGACTATGCACAGCTGGTTCTCAGATACTGGCCCTCCCCCGTGTTTTGCAGGTGGAACCAGGCCCACAAATCTTCAGGAACCAACTTTCAGGGGCTCCCATCAAAAATAGATACACTAAAGGAAGAGATGGATGAAGCTGGAAATAAAGTAGAACAGTGCAAGGTACAAGAGTTCCCTAATAGATGTGTATTTGCATTGATAGCTTGGTTTTGCAAATGATGACTGTAAAGTCAAATTTTGTAAATTATTTATAATGGTCTACATAATTCCTATCACTGTACAAGATTTGATTTGACAGCGGGTCAAATGACACTAAAGGTGGGTTTTATTTTTTTTCTAAGACTACATTAGCTTATAACCAGAATGAAACATTTAAAAAAAATTCAAGTATAATAGATTTTAAAACATGGCAAAAATGCCTGAGTGCCCCAGGGTATCCCAGGCTTCCACTCAGGCTCTGCTTCCCTGCCCCCCCCCCACACCCCCACTTTTCTCTCTTAGAGTAAGGTGTGGTGGACTCCAGGAATTTACTTACTTGCTTTCCCAGTTATTCTGAAAGCATGTTTGTTACTCCTAACTAGCATTTCCAGATTTTTTTCATAAGTGAGAGGGACTTCATGTTCGTTTCTGTCCTTTCATGTCAAAAACAGAAGGTGGTCTGCGTATCTTTACATATCTATAATTGCCTGATCTGTCACTTTTTAAAAAACCTTTTCTATAAGTACTTCATTGATACCAGTTCACATAGCAAAAGTATAAAGCACCATGCAGTAAAGTCCACACTTATCCTCCTCCTGCTTAATTCCCACTGTCCCAACAGGTAACCACTGCTACTGATTTTGTGTTTTTGCTTTCAAGGTATTTTTATACAAACAGGGCAATGAAAATATAACTTATTTCATACTCCCTTTTTGACCCAGATGGTAGCATGTCAAGTGGTGCTCTGTTCTTAAAAAGATGTATTGCCAATATACCTTGGCAGTCTTCCCATGTGAATCCATAATGAACTTGCATATTCGTTTTGTTGGCCCAGAATATGATTTTACCAGTGAATTGATGGACATTTAATCTGTCACCATCACATTTTGCTCTAAAAGCTCATGGAGATGTAATTCTCAGGGGCCATGTTCTTAGACATATCTTCTCTTCCACACACCCAGGATCAGCTTGCAGCAGACATGTACAACTTCATGGCCAAAGAAGGGGAGTATGGCAAATTCTTTGTGACGGTAAGTTCTTTGACTTGACAACATGTCAAAGCATTGTAAAAATTGAGACATTTTAGCTTTTTTGGCAAAGATTTCATTTTTTGGTTTTGCTCAGCCATTGTGTGTGTGTCCATCTGATGCTAACGTTACTTTTGTTTTTGAATGTGGGTCTGTTCTCAGTTATTAGAAGCCCAAGCAGATTACCATAGAAAAGCATTAGCAGTCTTAGAAAAGGCCCTTCCCGAAATGCGAGCCCATCAAGGTAATGTAACCTGTGTGCCGGCTGGTGCCTCTTCTCGCCTCTGCCACTCTGCCTCTGTTCTTCGCCCTGACCCCTTTGCATGCCTCTCTGCTTAGGAGGGTACTACTTCTCAGCATAATTTCATCTTTCCTTGCTGCATTCTTTAGTTCCTTCCAAACCCAAATTAACATACTAATGCGATGTTTTAATTTCTTCTGAAATCTTCAGATATCTTTGGGGGAGTAGCTCTGTTTTTTCTCTCTTCTAAATAGGCTTGAAAAATCCTAGCCTCTAATTATCTTTTTCTAAAATAAGCCACAGGGCTTATTCTCCCCTTGTGCCTCCAAGAACAGCCGTTTTAGGGAAGATATTTTGGACTTTCCAAAAGGAATTGAGAAGCAAGTACTTGATACCCCATCATCAGGCATTTATTTGTTGTGATCGATAGTCAGACTGTGACCACTTCTTCCAGATCTCCCCTCTCTATTCCAGCACATTGCTGATATTACCCACACTTTACCAGTGGGCTGAATTTTCCTCTGATGTCTAGTCTTAATGGAATATTGAAACATTTGATTCTAATTCTCTGATTTATCATCAGAGAGCAGTAAACTTTGTGGGGGCTGAAACCCCTCTGTCGTCTTTGGCTCTGTTATTTGGCTTGTACCGTAGACCTGCTTTTGGAGTTTGGGTCCCCCTGCAGAACCATTGTCTTGCGCTGAAAGAAAACCCAGCCAGGTGCTGAGTGTGATAACCCCGAGGTGGTGAGAGAGCAAGAGCAAGGGGGTATGTGTGCTGTGGACGTGCACACTGCCCCCTTGGGAATGCCACTTTCTCCGCTGAATTTTAGGAAAGCCCAGTAGGTTCTGGCTTGGTGCCTGAGTTTTTGGAGTATGGAATTAGAAAGTTCTCTCTTGTTTGATCACCTGCCAGGTCTTCAGCAACCTCAAGTGCAGTGTCCGATTTGCTGGCCCATTCTTTCTAGGACGAGCTGCCCACCTGCCCTCGTGATCTAGTTTCCTGGTTGATGGCGGGCGGGGTCACGACACAAAGGTTCAGCCTTGACAGGGCAGGCTCTTGCTGGGGTGTTCAGAGCACCGAGAGCTGGGGTGTTCAGAGCACCGAGAGCTGGCATTTAGTGGATGCCTGCTATGCGCCGCATAGGACGAGCTCCTGCCCATCGGCATCTTGGCCTGAAGTCTGGCTGGGAAGGACTGCCTCACGGGCACGCGAGGAGAAAAGAGGCTTTCTTGTGCTGTCCTCTTTGCTTTGTCCTTCCAATTCTGGTTTTTTCTCCAAGGCTGCTTTTTCTAGAGACTCATGTCAGAAAGTCATGGGACGCAGCCAGGGAGGTAAATGGACTCTATCATTCTTTCTCTGTGAGCTGCTGCCGGCACCGAGCCTTGGAACCTGTCCCTTCCACTTCTGCCTGTCCTCGTGTCTACCTCCACCCCGTCTTCCTTTTCTCCTTATCTCTGTTAGACTCAGCAGCGTGTCTGTACCGTAACAGCGGCAGCCCAGCGTGACCCGCTGCCCCCGCGACCTGGCCCACCCTGACCGCACACTCGGTGTCTGGTCCTCCTCGGCACAGCCCCCACTGGCTGCTTCCTCTGTCACTTTTCTGGCAGATCCTGTGAATGTCTCTTTCCTCAGGTGGCCTCCACTTTTTCATCACTTTCCACTCAACACTTTGAAGTCTGCGTTCTCCTTCCAGTGGCTCTGCTGTTAGAAAGAAGCACCGCCATCCTCGGGCCCTCGTCCTGTCAGCCCACCGGCTCATCTGTGGGAAATCCCCACATTCTGCTTGATCGTGGCCTTTGATGTAGGGCTCTGTTTTCCACCTGCGCCCCTACCCCTGGAGTCAGCCTTCTCCGAGGCCCAGTCCTGGCTCCTCTCTCTTCCTCCCCCCGGCACCCCCTGTCCCCTGAAAGGCCTCATGTTGACCCCGTCAGTTCTCAGCTGCAGCTTCATCCTCGCGGCCACCTGAACCTCAGGCCCCTTAAGCTCATCGTATCTCACAAATAGATTTCTCTGCCTGCTTGTACTTTTCTCCCTTTCCAGATGCTCCAGGTTGGAGAAACCCTGGCGCCCTCTTTCCTGCCTCCTCGTACTCCGTCACCAGGGTCCCCACACTTCCCGTCCACTGCACCTTCCTCCCCGCCCGGCTCTTGTCCGTGTCCTCGTCACCTCATGCGCGAGCCATGGAATGAAACGTAACTTCCCAGACTCAAGCTCCCTGGGCTCTTCTCAGCCTGCCTTCTGTGTCTGTGTAACCCGCTTCCGTTGTGAGACCCCCCCATGCTCCCCTCATTTGAGGAGCCTTCTCAGATAGCTGAAGCCAGTGAACCCTTGTCTGCTGAGCTGCTCCAGCATTTAAGGTCTACACTGCAAGTCACAAACATACCTCATTAAGAAAGATTTTTTAAAATGACTTGCCATCATTTAAACACCAAACTCTTTCACATAACAGTCCTAATTTCTGGCTTCTCTTGGAAGTTCAGAGCCTGGCTGGCTTCCTGTGTGGCCGTGTGGGTCTGGCACGAGTTGCAGCTGCTGCCTCTCTCAGACCACAGGCCCCTGGCTGACAGCCCCTGTGGTGCTGATCCAGCCCCGGGCACAAAGGCATTTGTGACCCTTGTCTACACCGCCCGTACCATCTCTCTGCCATGACTCAGCGACCATGTCTTGTTAATTACGTGTCACACGCGTGTGCCTTGTATCTCCCTCACAGTTTGAGTGCTCTCATCACCGGGGCGGGGAGTCTCCGAACTTCGTGCCTGCTGCAGTATCTGGCACATAGTAGGGCCGCTGTTTGAGGCCAGCAGCTGGGGTGGGGTTGCCTCAGGAGTTGTCTCGGGGCCCTGATTCTCACATCTACCCACTGCCAGTGTTACACCAAGGTGGGGCACATTCTTTACTGTTTACTAGAAAGTTCCAGCAAGGGTTTGGAGAACACCTGGCTCTCCCCCTGCAGGGCAGAGCATGTGGTGGAGGGGAACGGGTGCCACTGGCGGAACTCCCAAGGGGGATTTCCATGTGCCCCAGGGGAAGGGTCTTGGGCCATTTCTGCCCATGCTGAAAATCCTTGTTTCAGATAAAGGGAATACAGTAGTCAAGGTAAGACCCGCCTCTGAGAAGGGCCAGGTCCTGGATGCCATTTCCACTGCCCAGGGCCCCAGGGTCCGAGACAGGAGGCCTCCCCCAGCCCACTGCCCCTCCTGCCCTGGTCTCCCGCCTCTGCCGCGCTTGCTCTTCTGTTTTCAGCTTGTCACAGTCCTCGGATCTCTGGATTTGTGGCATTTCACTTTTCTTCCTTCCCCTTTGTGCAGACAGCCCTGCATCTGCTCTTACACGTGTGTGTGAGTCAGCGTGTCACACACTCGAGAGACACTGCCTACTTTGAGCCCAAGATTCTAGTAGCAGTGTGGCTAATGGACAGCTGTCTGCTGACAGCCTGGGAAGGGTGTGAGCCCTTCCTGGTGCTGCAGGGAGTAGCCTCCCATGCCGAGGTGGTTTCACCTTTGGTTTTCCCCCTTTGCTCCTGTGTGCCTCCCGGGCAGCGCCAGGTCTCAGCCCCTGCAGGCAGCCTGGCCCACCAGACCCTTCTCCCCCTCATCTAATACATCCACCTTCTAAATTCTTGTTTCTATGTCACTGCTTTATTGTATGGATTTCACTTAGCTGCCTCAAACCTTTTGTGGAATGAAGCAGCGCCCGTGACCTAGAAATGATTGAAGGTACTGCTTTGCTGCCGAAGCTGCTTGGGGGCTGCAAATGTGTGTCCTCTCCTACTCAGAATGTCCTGGGCCTGTTGGGGCATGAGGCTGCATGTGATGGAGATGTGGCACCTCTCACCCGGTCACTGGGCCATCTCCATTCTAGTGTGAGGGTGCTTGGCTTGTGTTTAGAATTTAGGAAATTCTTTTCTTTTTCACATTGAAGGAGGCTGTTTCTTCTTTGAGAGAAAAGCCAATGCTGCTTTGCATGGCTAGAGTAAATTTCTTGTCAGTGAAAACAGGATGCTCAGGTGAATTCCTGGTGTAGCTGGGGCTGTGGAGTGTGAGTGGGCCCAAGCGGGGCGGCAGGCCTGGCAGGGCTTCTGGGCAACCACCCGACGTCTCTGGGTGTCTTCAGGGCTTCGTTCTGCAGGTGACACCCTGGCGCAGGCCTGTCTTCAATGCTCTAGTGAAGGGTGAGGACGAAAGCAAATAGGGCAGATGTTGCTCCTCTTCCCAAAGCCTCAAATTCCAGTGTGCTAAAAAAGAAAAAAAAACAATTCCTTTTGGTGGTTTGGGAGTAAATAGCTTGGTGATGCTGGGTGTCTCACTGGGGGCTTTGCTGCTCTAGATAAGTGGGCAGAAAAGCCAGCCTTCGGGACTCCTTTGGAAGAACACCTGAAGCGCAGCGGGCGTGAGATTGCGCTCCCCATCGAAGCCTGCGTCATGCTGCTCCTGGAGACCGGCATGAAGGAGGAGGTGAGTGCACCTGTCCACACTATGTGTGCTGTGTAGACCCGGCCTTCCCAGCCAGTCACCTGCCTGCACTGTGCGTTCCACCCTTTGGAGGTGCTACTGGTGAGACCAGCATCACAAGACCGTATTCACCTTTTTCTGTGCAGTGCATGCTGACTTTTTTAAGTCCCATTTGATTATTTTGTTTTAAATTGGATTGTAGTTTGTGAAAATGAGTTTAATCAGCTTTAGTTGTTGACTGAATCTCACATTTGTGTAGTACTCAGCAACTTTTAGGAGACACTTACATACTTTATTTCACAGAATGTTTACCCAGAAAACACCCATGAATCAAGCAGAGTGGGATGGTAACTCTGTGTGGCTATGGAAATCACACACTGGGGCTTGGCCAGAATCGAAACATGTCTTTCTATTTTTCTTCTTTAGTACTTTGTATTTTATTTTCTGTATTACATACATACTGAAAAATGTGCATATTTTAAGTGAAGGACTTTCACAAACCGAACCCACCATGTCCTCAGTACCCAGATCAACAACCACCCCCGGAGCCCTCCTGTGTTAACTTCCAGTGTCTGCCCCCAAAATGTAACCCTAAATTTTACTATCTGAGATCAGTGCTCCCCAGTCAGGGCCACTTTTTTTTTTTTCTCCTAAATTATGGTTATTGAGGCGAAGTGGGTTTCCACTGTTGCATGTGCTCCGGGGGTTATAGGCTTCAGCCTCGACAAATGTGTGTTTCACCTGCCAGGGCCACTCTTTGCCCCTCAGGAGACTTTGGCAAGATCTAGAGACATTTCTGTCACAGTTTAGGGAGTGTGTTCTGTCACCTAGCAGGTGGAGACCAGGGATGCTACCAAGTACCCTTCACTACACAGGAAAGCCCCCCTAAAAGGAGTTGTCTAGCCCCAAATGTTGAGAAACCCCGCCTGACTGATTTTGCATAAAACCCCATCTTCTGACTCCAGGCCCAGCGTCCTCACTGTCCTGCCTCTTGGTCGACTCTTCATGTGTTTCTCTCTGCTCCCTAAGTGCCACTTAGGGCAGTGAAAGTGACAAGCAGCCTAGTCTAGCAGTTTTTCTTAAGATTCCAACTAAAAAACAATTCTAAATTTCAAAAATCTATAGCAGTCACCTGTAAAAATATAAAATATTGCTTTTAAATAGGTTTCTGATAGGCACGGGTGTTTTAGCAGCAGGACAGGTTAAGTAGCACTGACTAAACATGGGTTGCTTTTGGCTGTCATTGCCCAAGGTCCATGCTTGTCCTGGTCATTCGCCCTGACCACCTCACAGACGAGGCTGGCTGGAGTGAGCGGGAGGTGGGGGGGGGGCATGTCTCGGGGCTCCGTCATAATTTGACTGCTGCTCGCATAAGGCTCACAATTTGAACTTAATGCAAATGGCTTTTCCTTTAGGGTCTTTTCCGAATTGGGGCTGGGGCCTCCAAGTTAAAGAAACTGAAAGCTGCTTTAGATTGTTCTACGTCCCACCTGGATGAATTCTATTCAGACCCCCACGCTGTAGCAGGTGAGCTCCAAGGAGTGGACCTTAAGGTGGGGGGAGAACCTACCTCAAGCAAATCATTAGCTAAATATCCAATTTTAATTTTAGCTTTAAGTAACAGATAAAACTGGAAAATTATATATATGTGTATGCACACACGTCTTTTTTATTCCTGTTTTTGATTCTCATTATTAAGTAAAGGTGAATGTACATATAATCCAAATATTGGGGATGTGCTTCTATTTTCTTTTTTTCTTCCACCTCCAAAGTCTAGCTCCACCTGGATAAATTACGTCTATTAGGAAGATGGATTTGAAGTTAATTTCATTTTTGATGATCTCAATATATTTTGCAAGGACAGAAATTTCATTCTCTAACTACTTTCACAAATCATGAATTGTTCTCGCTATCTTGGAAGACTGTAATTGAGATTATTTCAATTTGCAAGCTATATGATCCAAGATTCCCAGTCTTTGCCCTTTTCATACTAAAAGAAAGCGGTAATAATTTCAGGTGCTTTAAAGTCCTATTTGCGGGAACTGCCTGAACCTTTGATGACTTTTAATCTGTATGAAGAATGGACACAGGTTGCAAGGTAAGTTTAAAGAACATTGGATTTTAAAAGTTAAAGGTAATCTAATACTGTGTCCCATGTGTAAACCATTATGCTCTCAGGAATCATAAAATGAACATAATTTTTAAATTATTTGTTAATTTCATTAATTATTTGTTAACAAATACTGCTCTGGCTCTTAAACTTAAGATACAAATATTGAATATTATAATTATCAGTGTAGGAAGGTCACCACACATGCATTGGTTTAAATTTGTGTGACTCGTATGGTGGAAAATTTATAGTGGTACACACATCAATACCCACACCAATCAGCTGATTATAAACCCCTTTCATGTGGGAGAAAGTGCCATCCCAGCCAATGGCAGTTGGCCTCTTGAGCCGTATTGTCCTAGTAACATTAGTATTAGTGTTATTATTAATAATAGTTAACGCTTACCTAGTATTTACTGAGCTAAGTTCTGTACTGACCTTTACACCTATTATCTTCTGTAACCCGTAATCAGTGACATGAAAGGCAGCTGGTGTCTTCATTTTACAGACGAGACATCTGACGCCGAGGGAATAGCAAGCAATTGGCAAAGCTGGAATTCAGACCCCACGGTCTTTGTCCCCCCCTCCACCCCCCGCTTCAGCGTGACTAGGAGTAGCTTACTCCTAGGACTAACAGGCACTTGTGTTAATGCAGCATAGTAACACAGGCATATTGATGCATGTGGAAATAAATGGTGATGATAACATTTTTGTTCTCAGAGTTTTAAGCAGTGTAGGCTTCTTTAAAAAGTCCTAGAAGTTTCTCTTTTTTGATTGCTGAGTAATACTCCATTGTATACATGGACCCCATCTTCTTGATCCAGTCATCTGTTTTTGGGTATTTGGGTTGTTTCCATAGCTTTAGCTATTGTAAATAGTCTCTTTGTCACCCCTCCTCCTCGTCAGCTTGTCCCCTCACAGTTCTGACTCATTTCCTCTCATGGTGCCTGAGTCCTCACTCAAAGGCAAAGAACAGATCCCTGCCCCATGCGCACCTTCAGCCCCTGTCACCCATTCCCATCAAAGAGGCTGTGACTCTGATCCCTTGACTCGTCACTCTAACCAGCCATTTGCCTTTGAACTTGTCTCTGTGGTGTTGAAATGAGAATCTCTGTCCCTGGTTGATGGAGAGGATTTCAAAGTCCCAGTCAGTTCTTAGTCATGGTTGTGTCCTTGGTCACAGTACGGCCCCCTTAAGCATCATGCTTATGGGCCTGAATAAATGGGCCCTACCATCAGTGTCAGGGAGGAGAGGGTTCTGGGATTTCTTCTGTTAGGTAGTTGATGGAAGGCTACATAGGCTCCACATTCTGTTCTGCAGCTCACAAACTCAGCCCTACAAGGAAACAAGCTTTTGAAAGATGTCTGTCTGTCCGTGTATTGACTCTGTACTTCAGCACAGGCCCCCCTCCCATCCCAGTGTCACATGGATGGTCCCTGAGTGTAATTATGTGTAACCCCTATTGTCACTCTCCAGATTGGTCCAGGGTGGAGAATGTGTTGCATCAGCAACTTGTAATGCTCTTGCCTGCTGCCGGGCAGAGCTGACCCCGCTCTGCAGGTGCTGGTCTGGCCCTTGTGAAAGTTTGCACGTTAAAACTGTGAAGCAGAAGGCTCCTGGAATCGCTTCATAGCAGAAATGTCCTTTTATTTTGTTTACTCTATATGTTTTACTAATTGTTTTTTAAATAGGGAGTATATTCCCAAGGTGCATAGTCCAGGTTCCTGGCCTAGAGCCTTTGGACTATATGTGGAGGGGAGGGAAAGACCAGGGTCTAGATGTCGGGGCTCAGCCCGCTCACCTCTGGCTGAGCTGCACTTAGGACAAGATCTGGGCTCCACAAAGATACGCATGACTATCCACTTTCTGGACAGAGCTTTTGGTGTTATCTTGTCCTGTGTGCCAAGCATTGGCCTCAGAGATGACTCCCCTTACTGATGGCACAAAACCTCACTGTTATTACCAGAGTCCACCTTCTTACCCCAGTCTTGCGATCAAGGGAATAAATCTTGGCCATATACTAACTGCACATATAATTAGTTGGAATTTGACTCCAAATCTGTTTATTTCCAAAATCTTTGCTGTTTTCCACCTGTGCTTTCCCCTGTCGATGGAGGCCCCTCTGTTAATGGAGCACAGTACACAAGTATTATTAGTATGCGTTGTACCAACTGGCTATGAATTGTATCTTTTTTGTTCTCAGTGTGCAGGATCAAGACAAAAAGCTTCAAGATTTATGGAGAACATGTCAGAAGCTGCCACCACAAAACTTTGTTAACTTTAGGTATGTGCGACTGCCGTTCTGAAGATCCATCCTCTAAGCAGCAGTGATCTGGAGTGAAGAAAGGTTTTGCCCCAGTCGGGGGCCATTTAGCATAGTGTGCTTGGATTTGGGGTGGCTGGGAATGGGAGTTGATGTGTGATGCCGTGATGAACCTGAGACTTCAGCTTCATGTCTGCCCTAGTAAATAGCCTTCCCATTTGCCCTGCGGATATTGGGAAAAAAGTCTCGTGAAAAATTGGGCTGACTGTATGCTGGATTTGGAGACTAAATGGCCCAATTTGTAAAAGGCAAAAACTAATCAGTAGTTGTGCTTTCTGTAATATCTTTCACATAATTTATTTTAAAAAGAGCATAAATCATCCTCTTAAATAAGATTTCAGGAGACGGAGATTATATATTACCTTTTTAACACGTCAGGTATCAGCGTGACCCATGTTTGGGTTGATACTTACAGTATCTTTTTCTGCTTCATTTAGCACTTTAGTCTGGAATTGCAGATATCCCTAACATAGTCGTGGTCGTACGGTGGGGACTGAATTATGGTTCCCGAGACTTTGGAATTTGACCTTTTATTTTGTTTATTTTACTCTTTATAATTTCTACTAATCAATAGGAAGTACATTCCCATGATTTGAAATTTAAGCGACTTCAATGAAAAGTCTCTATCCTGTTCCTATCTCCCAGCTACCTGGTTCCTCTCCTGAGAGGTACACGTGTTTTCAGTTTCTCAAACAGCCTCTTGGCAAGAGTTCCACTGGTACAGGCAGGCATTGCTTAGTGATCTTTCAAGATCATCAGCAGTGGGCTGAGTATTCAGTGGTGGTCCCAACAGGCCATGCGCTGGAGATGGGGCACATAGTGGATTGTATCATCTACATTTGTGTGACTACACCCTGTGACATTTGCACAGTGATGAAATTGCCTAGTGGGCATTTCTCAGAACATGTCCCCATCATTAAGCAACACATGACTGTACAAGCAAATACATACACATATATGTGTGTACATTTTTTTGATCCTACATCCCCCCCTTTTTTATACAAAATAGTATAGTATACATTCTCTTCCTTGCCTTTTTTGTTTACTATACATCTTGGCAATTTTTTTCATTTCATCGTAACTTTTCATGACTGTAATACTCCACTATATATATATATATATATATATATATATATATATATATGCACACACACACACACACATACATATATATGGAGTAGCTTTTTTAACCTGGCCCTTATTGATAGTTAAATTGTTCTTAATCTTTTCCTGTACTTGTACATCAGAGAGTGTATCTATGATAAATTGGATGATTTCATAATTAAAAAGAGCATTTTCAAATACAGTTACCTTTATGTAATATAGGCACATATATGTGCACATATATGTGTATGTGTAAACATACACTCTGCTTACACTAAAACTATATTGGGCCCACTGTTTTTCACATTACCTAGAATAGATAGGGCATAAAGGAGAAATTGATTATAAATATACAGCAAATAGAGATTGAATCATTGAGGTTTACATTTTACTTGTTTTCCTCTTGCTAGTCCTAAATTAGTCTGTTTTCTTTAAAAAAGAGCACATGAAATTTATGGAATGCTTATACTGCATCAGATTCTGATTTAATAACGCTGCAGGTAGCAGCTGGGACTGAGCACTAGGCATGATGACAACATTCCTGCAGTCACTTCAGAGTCAATGCTTCCCCCCCTTGTCTTTATCCCATAGGTATTTAATCAAGTTCCTCGCAAAGCTTGCTCAGACGAGCGACGTTAATAAAATGACTCCCAGCAACATTGCAATCGTGTTGGGCCCTAATTTGTTATGGGCCAAAAATGAAGGGTAAGTGATCTTTTACCATAATGTGTCATTTCAATTTCTTCTTTCCACCTGATGGGAAAAATAGAAACATAACTCAAGATGCTCAATCTGGGGTAATATGCACTTCAGAGTGCTCTGCAGTGATCTTGCCATTTAGCCCACATTCTCGAACACCACTGTGAGGCTGGGTTCTGTCCCAGGTGCTGGTCACACAGCAGCAGTGCAGCGAAAGCACCACACATGTCTGCCTACATGGCAGTGATGTCATAGACATTACAGAGAATGAGGGTGACAATACTTGCTGAAAGGACATAATCCAGGCTTGGAAGTGGCACTCAAGCTGTACCTTGATGAATGTGATGGGACCTGAGCAAACGAAGACATTGTGGGCTTGTTTCCAGGGATGGCCTGGTCTCCTAGAACTTGACCACGGAGGCTGTGAGACTGTGGCTGGCAGGCAGAGCCAGGTCATGAAGGACCGTGTATATCTTGCAGAGATGCTTGGAAACTTAGTTTCTGAGCAGAAAAATGACTTGATCAAGTTGCATTTAGGAAGACCCTTGTTGGCATTGAGAATGTGCATTGAATAGAGGAAGGAGATCAGAGAGATCCCGGGGAGCTTCTAGGAAATCACTAGTGTTAATGTTCACTCTGTTGGTAGCAATATGATTATCTCATTTCATCCTCATATAAATAACTTTGTGAAGTATAGGTGCTATTTCCTCATTTTTATAGGTGAGGTCTCACAGACGAGGCTTAGAGAGGACAAGTAACTTGCTTCACGTTGCACACAGGGAGGTCGTGGCGCCCAGGTGCTGGCTACGGAGCCTGTGCCCTTCACCCCCTGCCTCCCATCACTGCCGCTTAGCCTGACACACAGGGAGGTCGTGGCGCCCAGGCGCTGGCTACGGAGCCTGTGCCCTTCACGCCCTGCCTCCCATCACTGCCGCTTAGTGCCTGACGTCCCACTAAAACATGCGGTGACTTCTCTTCAGTCATTGACTTGTGTATGCCCAATCTCGTTTCAGAAAGTGTAAGATTATTTAAACAGATCCAGTGTCATAAAGAAAAATGAAAGATACTGCATCTACAAAGTTAATTACATATGTCTGTTTCATAGCATCTAATTTCCACGTAGACTAAAGAGTTACATATAAAAAGTAATGACATAGATATGGCAAGTAAATATTTGTTAGCTTTTGGAATAGGGAATACTTTTGTAGATGTAAAAGTAGTGCAAGAAATAAATTTAGCAATCAAATAAATTTGATTAGTAGAATTAGAAATAGAAAGCTCCCAAGAAAAGATCCAGAATATATAAAAAGAATCAGTAGATAAACAAGTAGTGCCTTGTTAAAAAGCAAAATTGACCAAGAATATGCATGAACAGGTCCTCACCAGTCCACACCGGTGCTCAGGCTTGTAGTACTTTCAGAATCCACTTGGGAGGAAGGGTGAGGAGGGAGATTTGCAGGCCGAGCTTGCATTTTAAGCTGGAATTTGAAAGGAGCTAGAACCTTGGTTGGGGAATTGGGGTGAAAAGATTCCTCCCAGTGGGAATGGCAGAATGAAAATAAAGAGGAGGTGGGTTTGAAGTAGTGAGACCTGGGATCTAGGGTCTTAGGAATCCTGTGTCCTCGTTTATGGAGTTAGCATCATGACAGTCCCCAGGTTGTAGGTTGTAAAAATTAAACTCCGAAGTGTGGTGGAAGCTGGGTGAATGTAGGCCTCTGTGGCTGCTTCTGAGGTGCTCTGAGCAACAGCCAGGGGGATGATTCCTACTTGTTTTCTTCCTTGTGAGCTTTGACATTCAGACCCTTGCGACGCCTGACACTCATCTTGGGACCAGTCCACATATGTGACAACCGTGTTCATGTTAAATGTGGGGGTGCAGGTTTCCTGATAGGGCAGGAGACACATGGAATCACTCCTGGGTACATTAGTGGCAAATGGTTTTTTGGCGATCTTGAGTCCTAAGATGGTAATTACCATGGGTCACGCGTTCCGGACCAGTTTACAGCCAGCGTCCTGACCACAGTGTCCGGCCCTCGCTCTCCCGCTCTCGTCACTGTGGGCTCTTTTTCTCTGAGTGGTCACTGCTACACTCATAGGCCAGGGCCTTAGGGCCTTAGTCTTTGAATTTGAACTTATTTTATCTTTTCAAAATAATTGAATGGCCTTGACACGGCCTGTAGACACCGGGGCCACCTGGGGGAGGCGCTTCATCTCTGTGACCTTCCTTTGCAGGACGCTGGCCGAGATGGCAGCAGCCACATCTGTCCACGTGGTGGCTGTAATCGAGCCCATCATTCAGCACGCGGACTGGTTCTTCCCTGAAGGTAATTACCTCTTCAATTTCATTGACTGCCAGAGCTAATCGTCTCATAGTATCAAACATCGTTTCAAAGAAGAAAATACATCAGGAGTTTCTTCATGGTTCTGTAATTGGTTTCACTTTTTCACGTTTTTTCCCAGACTGTGTGCACTCATGTTTTTGACATAATGGCATGTTAGCTTGTGTTGTACTTCATGTCACTTCACACTGGCATCATCCTCTCAGCCAGTGTGCATTAAATACCCTGGAGGTGCTGCATGCTTGCTAGCAAGACCTACTGTTTGTTCCTGGAGGAGCGCAGCTGCTGGAAAAGGCCACATGCCCCGTGATAGTGGCCGGTCAGAAGGCTGGGCGACTGGGGATGATGTGACAAACTCAAGTGTTGGACACAAAGAGGGGCACTTCATAGAAGAGGTGGCGCTGCACATGCAGGAGGTTCCCACTGGCTTCTTTTTCTTCTAGGGAGATAGTTAGATTCATGCAAAAATAAGGTTGGGGCTAGTGTGTGAAGGTCTGAGAATTAGGGTTTCATCCCGCAGGTGCTAGGTTTTCAAGCCGCGTGTGTGGCAGTGCTGGCCCCTTTGGGCGTGCTGGTCGGGGGTGGGGTCGGGAGTCTGGACCTCCCACCCCCACTTTGCCCAGAGAAGCGCGGCTGTCACGTCTGCCAGAGTGTGAGCGTCACAGCCCAGGGGCACCGGATCCTGTTGTCCAGAGTCATTGGCCCTCCTTCACGCAGACTACTCAGTACACCTGCGAGGGATCTATGAATATTGGCGCTCTGCCTAGGATTCCTTTGAGAAAACCCATCTCGCAAAAACTGCTATAAACAGTAGAGTTGATGTTGCCTTTTATTTCTTTTTTTATATCAAACTGTAAATAGCTTTTTTATTTGACAGGTGAGTAATCCATGCTCATTTTCTCTTCTGTATTCCATGATTTCTTTTTTTTTTTTTTAAAGATTTATTTATTTATATATACAAGCACTGGGTACAGTCAGAAGCGTGGGAGGGTGAGAGAATTCACCAGAGCGGGGAGCAGAGCAGGCAGAAGGACCGTAGTACACTGCTGAGGGGAGCAGCGGGCAGCAGGAGAGGTCTGCGCGCCATGTGGGACCCTCCTCCGGTGGCCGGGGAGCAGCCGGGAATCGAACCAGCGCTGCAGAGGCTGCAGGCAGCTTCGCAACCCAGCGCTCAACCGCTGCACCACCAGGGAGGCCCATGATTTCTTTTTTTTTAACAAAAAAGAACACAGAGGAATTGTGTAACTTCTGCGTCCTATCCCACCCCTACTTCCAATTTTCTTATTTCCCCTCCCTTGGTCCAATAGGAAGGCAAGAGCACCCCAGGCTTCTGCTCGTGGCCGAGTGGGGCCTTGTGGACCGAAGAAGGAGACTCCCATTCAGTAGCAGCGTAAAGCTCCCTCAGCCCCTGTGCTGTGTGTGTCATGTGTGTCTGTGTTTCTTCTTACAGAGGTGGAATTTAATGTATCAGAAGCATTCGTACCTCTTGCCACCCCAAATTCCAATCACTCACCCCACACTGGAAATGACTCTGACTCGGGGACCCTGGAGAGGAAGCGGCCGGCCAGCATGGCAGTGATGGAAGGGGACTTGGTGAAGAAAGAGAGGTGTGTTCAGGGCTGTTCTCTTTCAGAGCCACAGCAGATACCATGTAGAAGAGTTGTTAACCCCTCAGTATCTGGTACTGCCTCAGTGTCCCTGCAGGATGAGCGTGGCCCAGCACACCCACGGTTGGGGGAGTCCACATAGTTTCAGGAAGTCTGCTCTAGCTCATTCCAAACAGTTATCTGACCGTAAAGTAGGTATGTAGCTTGCCAGTTCCCACTCCCACCCTGTGCATTCAAGCCTTGCTTGATGGTCTGTGAAAAGCCCTGCCGTGGAAGAGCATCACACACACAGCAGTTTCCTCTGAGTGTACTTAATTGGGGGCGGGGGAGAAAGAAAAGGGGAAATGAGTTATATCCTATGGACTTGTGTCCAGAGCTGAAAGTGAGAGCAACCCACCTCTTGGTGAGTTGTGCGATTTGGTATTTGGTATAACTTGGCCCCTCAGTGGAAGCCAACCATTGAACTGATGTTTGGCTGAAGAAACCTCAGTGTTGGCCAGTTCTGGAAGAAGTGGCTATGTGGGATTCACTGAGAGATGGCAAGTCTCTGTTCTGTGCTCCACGGGAGATTTGCGGAATTTCCAGTGGTTAAGGGAACTTGGAATTTTTGCCTATAGACAACTGTCAAGTGTGTGATGAAATGCCACCCTACTCACCAGTAATGCTAAGAGTAAGAGGGGCCTGTTGGGACGCACCTGCTTTTCTTGCATACATGTCATAACATTAATTGGAAATAGTTTTGCCTTAAAACAAGCAACAAGCGCTTGTTTTAATTGGCCAATCTTAAAGTAGAGGTTTTGTTTTGTTTGTTGTAACCCATAACAGAGGAAAATGTTGTCCGATTCTGTCGTTCTGAAATCTACACTTATGATGTGAAGTTTTACTTGTCTGAACCCCCTTCACACACTCGGTCGTGCCTCACGATCACAGCCCAAATCGGTCCTTGTGTGTTGTGATGCGATGTGAATCTGCTTAGCACATAGTGGACAATTCTCAGTTACCTGCCTGGTGGATTTTCCCCACCGGCTCACCCAGTAAATTTGAACTTGGGGAGCTGTTTAGCATTTGTTTTTCAAACTGAAAAGTTTGAAAGTTCATGCAGTGGTCGACTTACATGAAAAGTGAGTCTTCCTTCCAACCTCTCCTCCAATCAACCACCATCTCCTTCCCAAAAGCAACTGCTTTTTCCATTCTCACGTATCTGTTCAGATCTAGTCGTCGCACTCACACTTATGTTTCTATTCCCAGCTTCAGAGTTAGTGGCGTGTGACGACCTCACACGCACCCCAGTAGGACCTCTGGACTCAGTGTTTACCTGGCCCCCAGACTCACAGAGTTGAGCTGGGCAGTGGGTGGGTGGTGTGGAAGAAAACATGCTGACATGATGCCACTCACCCGAGTAGGGCCGTCTGTTTGCTCCCAGCTGCTCACACCCGTGTGAGAAAGGGCATTGATCAAACAGGGTCCATCGAACCCCTCAGGTTAAAAGCCCAGTTGAACTGCTTGCCCTGGTGATAGGGATGGCCACTGACTGGTCCTAGCTGCCTCACTGCATGCCAGGCAGCTCGGGTGGCTACCCGTGTGTGGGTTCTCACACGAGTGGACCAAGGGGCTTCTGTCTTAATGGTCGGCTTGCATGGTGTGTTGACTGTTTCTTCTCTCTGTGTAGCTTTGGTGTGAAGCTTATGGACTTCCAAGCCCACCGGCGGGGTGGTACTCTAAATAGAAAGCACCTGTCCCCCGCTTTCCAGCCGCCACTCCCGCCCACAGATGGCAGCACCTTGGCGCCAGCGGGCCCAGAGCCCCCTCCCCAGAGCGCTAGGGCTGAAAGCAGCGCAGGGGGTGGGACTGTCCCCAACTCTGCGGGCATGCTGGAGCAGGGGCCAAGCCCGGGCGATGGCAGGTAAGGAGGCTGGTTGCTGCTGACTGAGAGCTGGATACCCCAGCGTCTTGCAGGTGCCGGCCTGTGGGCAAGGCATCCACATCTGAAGAATCACTGGGCATAAAGTGAACCAGATTTGCCTTCACTCCTCCAGTTGGCAAAGAATGGATCAAAAGACCTCAGAGTGCTTGCTTCCTTTCTTGTTTTCAAAAGAAAGCAACATTGTTTGCTTTCTTTACCATACTGCTTTGGTGCTGGAAGCTGGAAGCCAATGGGTGTCTAGCAGTATCACAAATCTCTTACCTGTTTAATGTGTCCTCGGCATTGATGTACCATTTGCTTGTGTCATTCCACTAGTAAATGTTGGAATGTAGCAAGTTAGGTTACAGTATTTCTGGCATCCATTCATTCACTGGCTTATTCACTCATCATCACTCATCCAATCCGATTTACTCTGTGACTAATAGGTACTAGGCGCTCTAGGTGATTTAACTCGTCCTCCCACCCCTGGCTCAGTCTTATAGGGGAGCTGATACACAGTACAAGAGAGGAAGCCTTTTTGTTGCTTAACCTTTGACTAACCGCCTGGAGTGGGCTACAAATACATAGCCACTTTAAGTAAAATTACCTTTGAGCTTGAGAATTTGGTTGAATTTTCATCCATTCCATTCTCACATTGACCTGGGCAGATGACCACTCAAGGTGGATCCCAGCTGGCAACTGCTGTAAAGATGAGCCTCTGCAGAGTAGATGCTACAGTTTTGATTGTTCTTTGCTCTATTTCGGCCATCTATAAAGCACTAACTGATAATTTATAAAGTAAAAAAAAAAATAATGTATAAAACAGGGACAACCTGTTTAGCCATGTTTTTCCATACAGAGAGATGGATTTGCCTTGGGAAAATGCCCTCACCTGATCTTGGGCCGGGGCGGGAGGGCCCCATGGCTCAGCCCGGACCTATGAGATAAGAATCTTCACAGTCCTCATAGCTGCACTCCAGTGCTTTGTGCATCCCTGCATTCCTGTTTACTTGAATAATTTGGGGAAGTTCACTTTTTGGTTACAAATAAGGCTTCAAACTTCCGAGGGCTTCATCTCCCCATCGTAAGCTTTGTGTTGTTCTGTAAGTAGCTGCTACTCCATACGTGTATTTGTTTTACTTTCAAGTTTTTGTTTGAGGAAAGAATCAGCTGACTCACATTTTCATTCACCTGTGGCACTCCATTTGTTTAATCAGGACTGAATATATTATTTAAGACAATAATTCGGCTTCACTGCAGAGGACAAATGAAATGTCAGGCATCAAATTGCTCTCAGTATTTCATGTTCTGTAGATATTTTGTGTCTATTTCACTAATGACCTGCATTCTTTGGCATAAGAAGTCAGACATAAGAAGTTCTGGGCCAGGAAGTAGGATACCTGAGTACTAGGTTCCACTGTCTGTGGACTCTGGGTTTTGTCAAGTGACCATTTGCTCCTATCGCCCCCCTCCCGCCCCAAATCTAAATTTTTTATTGTAACCAAGCATTTTATAATTCAGGGTATTGGGATTTTGCCATAGATTTTGCTTAGTTTCATACAATGTATGTGTCAAAATCATATTATTTTGACGTCTCAAAGCCCCTTCATGTGTTTTAAAATACTGCCAATTTAAGTACAAGCAATAACTTGAAGTTCCTATAGGTGGCGATGAAATGGTCTGTATCATATCTGAGGGGCAGAGTGTATAGAGGACAATCTGATACAATTTAAGTCTCATAAAATATGTAATCCATATTAGCTTTATAGGCCCAGAATGAATTATGTAAAATTTCAGATCACCTCCTTGCCTATGGAGGTGAAAACTCTGATTGAACCTGGTATTTTGTAGTGTGCTCAGCGTTCGAAAGCCGGGAATGCCAGATACCTAACTTGACTTCTACTCCCCTTAGTCCTCCGAAGCCCAAGGATGCTGCGCCTGCACCTGCACCTGCGCCGGGGAGGAACAGCAGTCAGATGGCCACCGGCCCGAGCCAGGCCCAGCCCACCACTGGCTCTCATCAGCTCTCTGTTGGTCCGGCACACAATTCCGCCGGCCCCAGCCCTCACACTCTGCGCCGGGGTAAGTAGTCCCTTCACTGCATGCCCTAGGGGAAGGGTGTGCAAGGAAGGCTTCAGGCTGAGAGACTTTGGACAGATCATCTCTACATCTGTTATAAAATGGCAAGTGGGAAAATTTTAAAGTATTAAAGAGAAATGAAAAAAAGTGGAGGGGCAGGCATTTGAAAAATATAAAAATTAACAAACCAAAAGGCATTTTTCCAGAACCACTCCCAGCTTTCCAGAAATCTGGTGCTCCTAGCCTGAGGACTGCTACGGCCACTGTACTGGCCAGGCTCTGCAGCTCTGCAAACCACTGTGCCCTCTGGCCAGGGTCCCGGGCTTTCTGATGAATATAGCATCTGAACAATTCCCACCTGTGCCCCTTCATCCTCTCCTCCTCAGCCTTCCCTGAAAGCCAGGGAAACTGCTTTCAAACGCAAAGCAGATCGTGTCCTCTCTTAACTGACAATCCCCCATAGCTCCCATGCAAACTTCCTGCCATGGGCCCACTTGGGGCCCAGCTGTTCCTCTCCCCTCTCTTAAGGGGAGGCACTTGAACCCTGCTGGTCTGCTCCCTAGTCCTTGGAGGCACTAAACCCATTTTCTCTTAGGAGAACATTTTCATATGTTTATGCATTTCTATTCTTTTTTAAAATTTTATTGTGGTAAGAACACTTAGCATGAGATCTTAAATTTTTAAGCATACAATTCAGTATTATTAAGTGAACTACTGTACTGTAGGCACGTTGTTCTACAGTAGATCCCTAGGGCTTTTGTCTAGCATGACTGAAGCTTTATGCCTGTTGACTAGCAGCTCTCTGCTCCACCTCCTTGCTGCCCCCCTCTCAGCCCTGGCAACCACCATTCCACAGTCTGATTCTTTCAGTTTGACTATTTCAGATACCACATGTAAGGGAAGTCATGCAGTACCTGTCACTCTGTGCCTGGCTTATTTTACTTACTTATTATTTATAATAGATTCATCATATTGTCATATAGCAGAATTTTCTTCTTTATAAAAGCTAAATATTATTCCATTGTGTATAAATATGTCACTTTTTCTTCGTCCAATCATTAGTTGATGGACATTTAGCTTGTTTCCATAATGTTGCAATGAGCAGGGGAGCTGAATATCTCTTTGAGATCCTGATTTCATTTCTTTTAGATAAATACCCAGAAGTGGGATTGCTAGAACATATGGTAGTTCTATTTTCGATGTTTTGGGAACCTCCACAGTTTTCCACAATGGCCGTACCATTACCTTCCCACCAGTGTGCACGAGGGCTCCGATTTCTCCACATCCTTGCCAGCATTTGTTGTCTCAGTTTTTTGATAATAGCCATTTTAACAGATATGAGTGATATCACTTGGGTGATTTCATTCCTTTGCCAGCCCAGGATATTTTGGTTGTCACAACCGGGAGGCTCGTGCCATTGGCATCTAGGGGGTAGAAGCCAGCGGTGCTGGGAACATACCGCAGCACTCAGGACAACCCCCGCAACAGAGAATTTATCTGACCCTGAGGGTCAATAGGATTAAGACTGAGCCCTGGTCAGGGAGGGATATGATGCATTGATGATGCTTTTAAAGTCGGTTAAGGTAGTATGAACCCAGATGTCCCTGTCACAACTCTTAACTGCTTTTATTAGAGTACGGGTGATCCTCACTGTAAAAAGCGTTGTGTTTTAGGTCGTTCTAGAAGTAGTGAATTTATTATAGCAAGTGCATTCTGAATGTGGCAAAGAATATATTTGGTTTGTATTTTTAATTAAAAAATTTAATTTTGTATAATTTCAGACTTACAGGAGAATTGCAGAGATAGTACAGAGAAGCTATGTGATCTTCCCTTGGCTTCTCTTAATGTTAAGAACAATTATTGAAATCAGGAAACCAGCAATGATATACTGCTATTAGCTAGCCTTCAGGCTGTAACCCAGTTTTTCCAGTTATGGTTTCTTTCTGTCCCAGTATCAATACAGAAGTCCACATTGCATTGTGTACAATGCGATGATTTAATGTACGTAGACACTGCGAAAAGATAACCACAATCAAATTAAGGGCTTAATATCCAAAATGTACAAGGAACTCATACAGCTTAGTAGCAAAAAACAAACCAAAAAAACCAAACCAATAACCCAATTAAAATATGGGCTAAAAATATTTTGAGTTCTTATTGTTTTCATTATCTTCTCTGTAACCAGAAATAGAATAAGCTCTGTCATTGGAAAAACGTCCAGTTATTTGGAAAAATGAATGTCTAGACATGATAAATCCTTAGAAAAAACATTCTAAGGCCACACATGTAATTCAGCATGTGATAACTATATGAAGAAGAGTCACAAAAGCGCTGATGTCAGGCCGCCCGTGCAGAGAGCAGGTTGCTCGGGAAGAACTGGGAAAATCCACCCAGAAATTAGCAGCAGCTTTGTGCAGGGCAGCAGATCTCCCTGCACAGAGCCAGGGCCTTAGATCAGTGCCTGGTAGAAATCAAGTCTGAGCAGGCTTGCGCTGAGCACCTGGCGGCTCAGCCAACCCCAGAGTGCTGGGTCTTTCCCTTCCTAGATCTCAATTCTTCATTTGTTGATTTGATTTTAGGGGCCATGCTGCAAAACAAGCCCCCTTACCGGCCCCCGCCCCTGCCTCCCACTGTGGCTGCACTCCTGTTGTGAGGTCTCATGAGTAGGCTTGTCCCTGGTGTACTCTAGCGGGCAACAGGGAGGACATAGGGCCCACGGCCTGTCACCACTCTCACGCTTCCTCTCTGCACCCTGAAATGTCAGGAGTGACCTGTTGTTCAAAATAAGTTTACAATTAATATCGTTTAGAACAGAAAGCTGGGATGGGGGGGGGGTTCCCAAGTGATTCATGATAACCAGAGCACTGTTGAAATTCCCACGGTTCTTTCCTCTGTCAGCTGGCAGGTTATTTCTGTGGGAAAGGTGTTTTGAGGCCCCAGCAGAGTTTGTTTTGCTCTGCAAACTTTATACAAAGTTTGTTTGCGTTCTGGGCCCTGTGAACAGCCATCCCGGCAGTGTGAGGAGGAAGAAGAGAAGGACTCTGAGGAGTCCAGTGGACAGGGATGTGAGTCCGTTCTCCACCCACTAGCGTGTGATCTTGCACACTTGCCCTCCATGCCCAAGTCCTCCCCACCATGAAATGGATATGGCAGTGCCTGTGAGCAGCTAGCTTGTCAGGCTGGCATGAGGCAGTTTACGCTAAGGCTCAGCTCGGTGCTGGTAATGTGCTGGGTGAAAGGCAGGAGTATTTCTTTCCCTCATTCCCCGCTCCTAGCTTAGGGGATGGTAAGATGTCAGCAGGATTTGAAAATTATTTGTCTCGCCTTCCCACCTACCCCTCCTAGCTCCAGAGCAGGCCCCCAGCCCCATAGGTTTTCCACACCACCCTCCTCACAACCAAGTTGTTCCTCACGACTGATTCTACCCTGAGAGACACTGGTCTCAACTGGGAGACGAGTAATGCAACTTATCTTGACTTAGAGCAGTAATTCTGAGATGATATCCTGGATTTTTTGATAATTTTATCTAGAATGTGTTGATTCAGTGATTCTGGAACTGGTAGAATTTCTGTTATTTAAAATAAAAAATCAAAACAAGGGGCATGGTATATATAGGCAGACCAGTCGCCTGGGCCACCGCCAACTCTTCTTGCTTCTCTCCATCTCCATCTCTCCCCATGCCCTCGGGTGGTGAGAGAAGACGGTGGGGTGTCCAGTGGGGTTAGAGCATTCTGTGTAGGTGGGCTGCCGCTGGTCACCAAGTTTTCTTCTTATTGAACTTTTTAAATTACATGTCACTAGAGGAATGATTAAAAAAAAAAACACTTAAATTTGGAGTCATTTTAGAGTTGTAGGAAAGTGGCAAAGTGCTGACAGATTCCCATATACCCTCACCCAGTCCCCCCACTCCACACACCTGGTTAGCCAAGGTACATTTATCACAGCTAAGAAAACTACGCAGGTACATTGCTCTTAACTAAACTCCAAACATTGTTTGAATTCACCAGTGTTTCTTGTACTGGCTGTGTTCCTGGAAAGGCCGCCCACCAGGACAGCACCTGCCTCAGTCACCAAGTGTCCTTGGTTTCTTCTGGTCTGTGGCAGTTCCCCAGCCTTCCTTTGTTTTTTCATGGTCCTGACATTTGGGGAGTGCTGGTCAGGCGTTTTAAAAACAATCCCTTAGTTTGCATTTGTCTGATGTTTTTCTCACTGGCAGACAGACTGTGGGTTTGGGAGAGGAAGTCCACCGGGGTGAAGTGGGCTCGGGCGGTGGCATGGGGCGCGTGACATCACGGTCTCCCTGCGGGGAGCGACCCTCGCCCCCCCTTCAGGCCGTTGGCCATCACTGTGCTCTTATTACTGAAAGGCGTTTTCCCCTTTTGCGCAGCTGTTAAAAAACCTGCTCCGGCACCCCCAAAACCAGGAAACCCACCTCCGGGCCATCCCGGGGGGCAGAGCTCTCCAGCAGCATCTCAGCATCCCCCCAGCCTGTCTCCGAAACCAGCCACCCGAAGTCCTTCTCCGCCCACCCAGCACCCCGGCCAGCCCGGCCAGCCCGGCGCGCCCTCGCAGCCCGCGGCCCCGCGGAGGCCCTCCAGCAGCCTGGCCCCGCTGCAGGCGCCCAGCCACCCGCCGCCGCAGCCCCCGACGCAGGCGCCCGGCAAGCCCGGGGCGCAGGGCGAGCCCGGCCCGGAGCCGCCGGCCCCCACGCCGCCCCAGACCCCCACGCCGCCCAGCACCCCGCCCTTGGGGAAGCAGCCCCCGGCGGGGAGCGGCGCCGAGACCGCGCAGCCGCACGCCGGCACCTTGCCGAGACCGAGACCAGTGCCCAAGCCGCGGAACCGGCCCAGCGTGCCCCCGCCCCCGCACCCGCCCGGCGCGCCCCCGCCCGCGGACGGCCCCCTCGCCGGCGCCGCGCCCACCGCGTCCCGCGTGGTCACCGGTAAGTCCCGGCGCCCGCCCCGGCCTGCTCGCGCCGCCCCGTCCCGAGGCCGCGGTGTGCGCGGGCCGGGGGCGCCCGGGGGCACCCCCGGGGGAGCGTCGGCTGCGGGGCTGACCCCGCACCCCGCTTTGTGGGTTCGTTACGCGATGGAGGCTGACCTGCATTTACGGTTTTCAAGTAAATTGAAATCATTTCTTAATGAAGTCCTCATAAAATGCTTATTTTCTCTCCAAGAGTAAAAACGTTCACGTTAAGTGAAGTATTTCGGATGTGACTTTAAAAAGCCTGATTGATGCCAAACTCGACGCCTTGGGAAGAGGGTCTGGGGCACGAGCGAGCAGAGCGCTCCCCTCTGATGGCGCAAGGGAGCGTTTTCCCCTAATTCCCGCCAAAGCCTGTTTGGCTGGTGGACTACACAGATTTTAGTGGGCTGCCTAATGGAATATTTTTTTTATAGGCACGCACATGGCCATTTTACTAAATTATGATTTAGAAAGAATCCACTCCGAGTGCCCTAATTTACTATTTGATTGAACAATGAAGTGGATGGAGTTTTTTAATGTGTTTTTTTTTTTTTAAGACGGTAATTAGGAGCTTCGAATCATTTCTTACAATAGCCTCGTTTTAAATTTTCTAAGTGAAACTCTTTTCAGAGAAGCTGAAATCCATCTGTGTGCGCTCCAACTTACCGAGTGACTTCTCTGCTGAAAATGAGCCCTGGGTACACGCCAGCCTGGGACTTAAATAACTAGTTGATCTTTTGCTAACCCTCCACCCCAGGAATGTAGTGCATAATTTGCAAGTGTTAATAAATGGTTAATGACTTTTTTCTTGATGACACCTCAGCCTTTGTTTTTAAGAGAACAAAGTCACATTGTCTGTCTGTTTGTTTCCCACTAGATGCCCTTCCTAGTGCCCTCACAGGTGGGGAAGGTTTCCAGGACTAAGGTCTGTAACACCCCCCAGCAGCTTGCACCTCAGCCCCAAAAGCTCCTGCTTAGCCGTGTTTTGTATTTTGTGCTTTTGACTTTGTGCTCAGGAGCAGCCAGCCATTTGACCCCAGGCCACCCGTTCTGGAGCCTGCAGGCTTCACTTCTGTTTTTATCAGAAGCATTTTGAGCTGAGAGCTCCCACTTCTAGAGGTAGACATTAGTAGATTTGAAGCCCCTCAGATGACATACTAAGAACAAATTCTTTCTTTTTGGTAAGTCTTTCCACAGCGGTCTGCTCTTCGTGGTGTGATTTAACTGTCATTGATTGGCTCATCAGCATTTAGCCAAAGAGGACTCGGGAAATCGTGTCCCTCATGTCTTAAGCTTTCATTTTTAATTTTACATCTAAGTGCAAGTTAACTGCATGGAGCTTCTTAATTTGATGCTCAAAATTCTCAGGACCAAAATAAAAAACACCTTCCTCCAAAGACCCACACTAAATTCCTTTGCATCTAGCATGCTTACATTTTGCTTTCCTAAACCACATGAGCTTTTTAAAAGGTGCTGAGGCTCATCTGGCTCCTGCCTGTAGGTGCCCATCTGCACGGCATACGGCTCTTGCTGTACGTAGAGTTGCTCAGCTACTGTGGGCCTCGAGCCTTCAGTGGGCTGCGTGGCCAGTGTTCAGAGCTTTGCTCTGAGGAAGACTTTCTGTAGAAGCCAGAAGGGGAAACAAGAGCATAAGCTTTAAAACACAAGGAGGGTTTGGAGTGATGCCACCTTCCCCACTCCTTAGTGATTAACCCAAGATCTGGGTTTAGCCCCTTAGGTGGAAAGTCATGCACAGAGCAAAAAGACTAACCCCTAAGTAAGGCCGAGCCTTTTAACTCTTAGGTACTTGCAACACCCCCAAATTTTATTCCCAGATCTTTCCTTATGTAGATGACAGATGCCGAACCAGGATTATGTCTGTCCTTGTTACCTGGAATGTATTTATTCCAGGAGGTTATTTTATGGATCTGCTACAACTCTGTAATGCTCTGTACTTTATTTTATAAAGAACAGAATCTTCCTTAAGATATTAGTTGAACTTTAAAAAAAAAAAAAATCAACAACCTGTTCTATGAATTCTCCTAACTCAAGAAATGTCAGACACCACAATTGTCTTTCAATTTCTTAAAATCCATGCACTGCCGTGAGAAGTGCACAGGAAACCAGCATTTCGAATGAATGGATCTGCTGGTGCTCACCATGCTGCTGTTGACCATTCTTGGAGACAACCATTGTGTATTTTGAAAAAAAAGGGCATAACTTCCTTGGACAGACAGACCTTAATATGACATCTTTTCATTTGGAAAACCTTAGACAAATTGCTGAAAACAGATCATTCGTTTAGAGCATTTGACCTTAAGAAGGGGATGAAGATCAGCTCTCGGGGGACACTGCAGCTGGGGAGTAGGTCTGGCCGCCTGCTTCAGGCCACCAGGCACCAGCTCAGGAGAATGGAGGGGCTCTGGCGTCATTTTGCATCTCTCAATTGTTACTCTGGAAAGCACTAGGATTTTTAGCTTTGCAAGTCAGAGCTTATGTCTTGCTGTTTTTAAAGTGATAGATTTTAGCAAAGAGTGTTCTAATTTAAACATTTTATTAAATAATTTAGATGTATGACCTGCCATATTCAGTAAGAACTGAAATTGGAATATTTAATGGTAAGGAAAAGGCACCTGATTGGCCAAAGCATTTTTGCTACTTTATGATCATATTTGTGCACTAATGCCTGTTACTAACCGTTCACCCTAACCCTGCCGCTTGCATCCCTACTAATGGTGCACGTACTAAGGAGGCTGGCTTCGTTTGTGCTTGCTGTCATTACTCTTCGTACTAAGTGTGTTCACTGACGTGTACACTGGGGCGCGGGGCTGGGCTTGTTACTTCTTTCATTTCCGTTTTCTGTACTGAACAGGCTTGAGGTGTAATGGAAAGAACACACTGTAGAGTTGGACCTGCCTGGATTAGAGTTCTAGCTCTCTGTGTGACACCCCATCTGTGAAAAATGCAATGTGAGAATTATTGGTGAAGGGATTAAATTAGATAAACTAAGAAAAGCATCTTAACATACAGTGGGTCTAAATCAATGGTAGATACTAAATGTCATTTTTACCTAGAAAAGAAATACCAGAGTTATGCATTAGATGCATTTGCAAACATTAAAAACTAAATGAAATAGAAATATATAAATTAAAAATGGCCGGAGGCTATGGCCCAGGCATCCATCCTCCAATTTGACGCACCCCTGGATTTCCCTCGTATCGGTTCCAATGTGGGTTAAAAAGACAGTGATCGAGGTGGAAGCTACTTCTTAATTGCATGAGCATGAGAACCCCTGAGCCCTTTGTCCACTGTGGGGATGGGTCCCTCTCAATGCTGTGAAGCACAGTGACAGCCGTTCCCACAGCTTTCGTTGAAGCTGAACCCTGAGTTGTGAGGAATGCATTTAAAACAAGTAGGTATTAAAGAATATTTGGGGACTAGCAATACTAAGTCGCCCTTCTACGAGTGAAGTAGTCTGCGATTCATACTCTACTTTTTTCTTCTAGTTCTTTCCCTAAAAAGGATGTGTAGGGGGGGGCCTCCCCTGGTGGCGCAGCGGTTGAGTGCTGGGTTGCGAGGCTGCCTGGGCCTCTGCAGCGCCGGTTCAATCCCCGGCCACCGGCGAGGGTCCCACCAAAAAAAAAAAAAAAAAAAAAAAGATGTGTAGGGGGTGTGATCATAATTATGTGGCACACACAGATTTGATCTTATATTTTAATTTTTCTTTTACACCACATGCACTTCTCCATGCTAGAATGTGGTTTTTATAACCACCCTTTTCAGTGGCTGCTAATATTTCATTAAGCACATGCATTGTTGCTCAGAGTGGGACATTGAAGTGACTTCTGCTTCTACTTGGAGTTTGTTTTCAATAAATAGATGGCACATCCTATCAAGATAAATAGCCAGTGAGAGGTGAATAGACTCTCTCCTTTGCCTAAAATAATAGAATGTGGACTCAAAGCCCCTCACGGCCCTGAAAACTGATGAGGGTTAGGAGGCAGTCATGCCCTCCGACTCTGGTTTACAGAAGGACGGGGAGGGGTGTTGTCACCCTGCAGTCGTGCCTGCACTGTCTAGTTTCCAGGATGTATTTGGGTTGTTACCTATCAAAGTGATCCTCATAGTGACCTTGGGCTTTTCAAAGTGTAGGCTTGCAACCTAGGGTACACCTTCAAGATCATTGACAGGACAGATCTTGTAGGAATACACCCACTTTGCAGAATCAGCTCTGGCCCTCCCAGGGCCTGCCTCTGCTAACGATACTCACGAAAAGAAGGAATTTGGTTCCATGTGTCCAAGCCCCAGACCAGAGGTGAAGCACCTCACATTCTGCCTCCGAGCTTCCTGGGCCCCCTCTCTGCCTGATTTTTTTTTCTTTTTAATATAATAACTGTCATACAAACTTAGCTCTCAGCAGTATGCCCAGAGACCAGCTCTTCTTAGAAAGTATGAAAAATGCTGCCTTATAGAAATTCATAGCCAGAAAGTTATAGAAGTGTTAAAAGAATTCCTCCGGGTGTCTTTCTGTAATAACCTTTTTCTCCTTTTTACTAAAATAAACCAGAATGTTTTGGACCCAACCTATTTTCCCCTCAAATGCTGCCTTCCCTGAGGACCCTCACCAAGGCCATGCAAACTCCCTTGGGGAGGAGGGCCACGCGAGCTGCTTGAGAACCGACTCCAGAGCCCAGCGGGTCTGGCCTGGATCTGTGTCCAGTGCTGGCTGTCACCTGGGATGAGGAGTTGAGCCTGGCAGAGTCCCCAGTTCTTACCTCAACAGTGGAGCTCACACTTGCAGAGAGGGGCTAAAAGGGGCTTAGTGAGCCTGTGTGGAGCACGTCACACCATTAGTGGGGATGCCGTGTTGCCGGTTACTGTGCCGGAGAGTCATCTGTTTCAGAAGCTGGCTCTGCACACGGGCTGTGATTCTCGTTGCTTGCATGTAGACAGATTGGTGGTTTTCATTCAAGAAATGGTCCGTGTAAGAATGAGAGAGGGTCCCGGGAAGGAAATGCACCTGCCAACCCAGGCCAACCTGATAGAGCGGCAGGGGCCGGGACTGAGGACCTTCCCCAGTGCGCCCTCCACAGGTGTTTTCCTTGAGTATACAGGCAGTGTATGTTTATCGTACATTATTGGGGAAAGTCAGAAAAGTACAAATCCAGAAATTATTAGTATGTGATATAAAAAAAGAAAGATATTTCTTTCAGAGGGAGGTTTGTCCTCTGACGAAGATCTGTGGCTGGTAGGCATCAGTTTGCATGTAAATCCTTGAGCAGAGGTCGGCCTGGTCATGGCGGTGCCTTTGCCTCCTGCTCCCCACTCCCCCCGGGCATGTCAGTTCCACAGTTCCTTGGTAAGACTTTTTGGGCTGAGAAGAGACTCTGCTGGCCACCCCATCTGTCTTGTTGGGCTGGGTAATGGCAAAGAGATCAGGTTTGCCATGAATTTCTTGTACCAGGGCTGTCTTCCAGGCATGGCTGCTGCTTTACTTGAGGCTCTGGGAAAGGATGGTCGGAAAGATGGTTGGGTTCAGTGACTCTTCCTCCCTCCCACCACCCATTTACCCACCCAGCCCATGGCCAGCCACAGAGTTTATTGAGCATCTGCCATCAGCCTAGTTCTAGGAGCTGGAGATATGCTGTGAACGAGACAGACACGGCCCCTGCCCTCATCACTTCCATTCTGCTGCGCACAAATCCAGGACCTCCTCTTTTGTGTACACAGGCCACTGATACAACTCACACGACTGGTTGGTCTTACAGCTATCTGGCCTTACAGAGATTCATAGCCAGAAATTTATAGAGGTGTTAAAAAAAATGAATTCCTGCAGGCGTCTTTTTACAATAACCTTTTTCTCCTTTTTCCAAAATAAACCAGTTTAGGATCCAACCTGTTTTCCCCTTAAATTCTGTCTTCCCTAAGGACCCTCACCCAAGGCCATGTAGAGGGCCTGATAGTTTGACATGGTATTCTGCACCTGAACTCCTTGACACCTCCATAAGCCTAGGAGTTCCTCAGTGGTGCATGGGAAACCTTGAGGGACAGGTCTGCCAAGCCTGGGGTCATTTCAAGAAAAGGGACCTTCTAGGAAATAGATTTTGTAGCCCAGCACTGTAGGGGCGCATGGGGCCAGGGCCAGCCTCAGCGTGGGGAGCCTCCCAGAGGTGCGCCTGTTCCTGCAGCAGCAAAGCTGAAGTCCTCTCAAGAGCAGCTCCTCGCAAGGGCAGACCTCGGGTGACTGCGCCCCAACTAGCACACACCTGCCTCCCCTTCTAGTGCCCTCTGCTCCCCACATGACAGCTCTAACCTGGCAGAGTGAAGCTACAGCAAATCTGAGCACTCTCTCCACTCTTGGGCCAACTCGAGAGCTCTCGCGTGCTCTGGAGCCCTGGGTAAGAGGGAAGCAGAGCCTGCCGCCCCCACCTGGGCTGCTCCCCAGCTGGGCGAGGCTGCCTCAGAGCTGTCTGTCTCGTTCACTGTGTGTCCTCACAGCTAGAGCCATGCCTGGCACGCGCGGGGGCTCAGTAAATATTTGAATGAATGATTTTGAGACTCACTGGAGTGAGTGAACAAGGTGTCTGTGAGCATGGAAAGAGGGAGCACAGCCTGGGGCCCTGCGTGCACTCTTGCTAGAGGAGAACAGACAACACAAAAAGACATGCGGAAGGAACCAGAGGTACAAGAATTAGAATATTTTCAGATTCGGGGTTCTGCCTCAGTTGTCGACCAGGGGTGACTGTGCCCCAGGGGACGTCTGGCAGTGTCTAGAGACATCTTCGGCACCCGTGACCCAACACGATCAGCCCAATGTCACTGGTGCTGAGGTTGAGGGCGTCGTGCAAATAACAGGACACATCAGCCTCGGAGGAGAGGGCGCTGTCCAGTGAGCCCACGACTGCCCCGTGCCCAGATGTGGTCAGGAGGTCCTGTTAGTGCCTCAGAGGCCCGGCCCAGAGACAGGCCCCCAGACCCCGAGCGGGCGTGCCACACGGCTGCCCTGGTCTGCCATGGTGAGGGCTGGGGGTGCCTCTAGAGAGGGAACGTGTGTGCATGGGCAGCTCCCAACTCTCCAGCTTCTGTTCTTCTCAGCGCGCCCTCCGCGTCTCCACGCACTGATCCCCGTCTCCTCGTGTCTCTGTCCAGACGCCAATTCTAGGGCTTCGGACACGCTTCGCAGCATCTTTCCTGACATGCATTCAGACTCAGCAAGCAAAGACCTGCCGGGCCGCATCCTGCTGGACATGGACAACGACACGGAGAGCACGGCCCTGTGAAGAAAGCCGCCGCCCGGCCCCTCCTCTCCCCCAGGCGGGGGCCGGGCCGGCAGACTTGACCTTTGCAGACCAAACAGCGAAAAGCTTTCAGAGCGGGGGAGAAGCAGGCCTAGACCACGCAGGACTCGGCCTGCCCACGGCCCCAGAGGACGTGGAGGCTGACCCCGAAAGCTGCATGACCTGTGTCTTGAAGTTGGCTTTCTTCACGTGGGAAAGAAATCATGCCAAAAACAAAGAAAGGAACACCCGGAGAGTGGAAAGAGCGTCGCTGCCGAGACGCCCCCGCTGTCGTGCGCGGCGCGGGGTGGCCGGAGAGGTGGCCGCCGTGCTGACCGCTGACCGGCAGTTTCATGGAGCCCGCGCCTCCTGCGGGCGGCCGGCCCGTCTGCCCCAGGGGCGCCGGCTCTCCAGGCTCGCTGCAGGGCCGTTTTGTATGAAGTATGGTCTGTGTCCCCTCCCGCCCCCGCCCCCCACCTTGCGCTCTGAGGTGACCGCTGGATCCGCCGCCTCAGCCAACTGGATGTGACTCGTGCCTTGCTGGGTCGCCAGGATGTACGAAGATACGTACTGTTCTGTTTTGTTTTTTTAAACGATGTAATGCTACTTGATAAGGACCGAACATTACTCTAGTTTCTTGTTTAATTTGAATTAAATATATTCTATGGTTTATATGAAAACTTTATAATTCTTGGAGACAACTGTGGATTGTTACCTGTGTGTCAGTGTCCCTTAGAGAGAACCAGAGCTGGCGGTGGGGCCTGAGGGTCTGTTGTGATGTAGAGACGGCAACTATGGCGTCCCCTTACACCCCCAGCCTGGCCTTCCCTGCGGGCGTCCCCCACTCAGGCCCTTTGCTCCCATGGTCCTGACACCCTTTCTCACCCATCGAGGGACATGGAGTCCCCACAGGCCTCGGGGACTTCACAGTAACAGCCCAGAGCAGAAGTCAGAGCCCTGACCGACCTTGGGGGTTCTCTTTTCCGATGGCTGGGAAGCATTTCTTTCTTTCCCAGAACTGAAGTACTTGGGAAGACAGCGAGGCCAGCAGTCTGGATCGCTGCTCTGATGACAGCCCCTAGTGGGGCCAGATGTGGTGTCCTCTGGAGAACAGGGGGACACACGTGCCTGTGTGGCTGCCCGAGCCGTGCCCGTGATAGAAATGTTTGCTGGGCGGCCCCATAACCTGTCCCTGGCTTAGACGACACTGGGCCTCCTTCCACTAGGAACTGACGTAGCCCGTTTAACTGAAAAGGGCCATCACTTTGTCCTTTGGCGTTCCCTGTGCCCCTGAAGTCCCCTACACTGATCAGTCACATTGAGAATATTTCATTACCCGCCCACCCACCCCCATCCCTTCAGGTGCTCCTTCCCTCCTCATCTGCCATCCAAGGGTTGTTGCCTTCTCCCTCGCCCTGGCTCTGGAGCAGAACTGGACAAAGCCAGGGTCTCCGTGATGGTCACTCCTCCGTGTTGCGTCCCGGCCGCCAGGAGCCCGGCTGTCCATGCCAGGCGCGTCTGTCCTTGATTCCTCTCCACGTCAGGCTCACGCTCGGGAGACTGGACCCCTGGTGTAGGTGCCCCAGGCCCAGGAAGGTCCCCGGATGCAGCATGTATTCCCTTACTGCTGTCCTGCAGCACATGCGCTTCAAACATTTGAAGGATGTCGTTCTGTTTCCACTCTCCCATTGTTTTTCGTGATCTCCCGACCCCAACAGCTCCAGTCTAAAGAAAAGTGATAATTACTTGAATTTTCTGTTTGTCAAAGGTAAATGCCAGGCTGAGAAGCCTGCCCCTCTTCTCAGGTCAGGGGTCATCGGTCTGGGGAGCAGCTCAGCCTCGAGCACTCAGAGCTGTCCCTGCGTCAGGATGACAGCATCTCCGAGGTACTGCAGAGACATGGTTACCCCCACAGGAGTCACCCCGTGCCGCAGAGCCTGTGCACCCTGCACCATGTGGTGGAGACATCCGTGATCCACACTCGGAGTCTTGCCTGCCCTCACCAGACCCACCAGGCTCCAGGAAGATGCTGCTGGGATCTGCCCCCTCCCTGCTCTTCAGAGTAATTCTTCATAGAAGGTTCTAGTCCTGTGTGCTCAGCCCTTCTGTCCCTGCTCCCCCTCCCACAACTACACCAGGGCAAGGACCTGTTGCTTCCGCCACGCCCTGCATTCAGCAGCCATCTAGCCCATGCTTGATCTAGCACTGTAGGGACAGCAGGGGGCCAGGGCAGGCCCCTGGTTGTCTAAGTTGTCTGGGTCATTCTACCCTGTGGTCATTCCCAAGAGTTCAGGTGCAGTTAGACTGAGTGACCACCGCCCTGGGCTTCCCCAGTGACCTGGTTCCTGGGGGCTCCGTGGAGGGCCTCTAGTCCATTTGGGGGTTCCTGTTCCCAGTGCCCTCCCAAGCCCAGTGAGTCCCACACATGCCCGTGTTTGGAGGTCTGCATGGGCCATCTGACTTCTTGCTTGTAGCTTGATCTGCCTGCACCATGGACTGATTGAGAGCCACGCCCTGGCGCCCTGCCCTCCTGTCTCTGATCCTGCACCACCATCCCTTTTCTCTAGGGGCCCAGCAGCCTCAGACCTTCAGTCCAGCCATCTTGCATTGCAATGGGGAGCGCCTCATGGATGTATGTTTCTCACCCAAAGGCTCCTACTTTTCTCATAAAATGGTGGAGGGCTAAGGAGGAGGAAAGTGCTGCTGAGACAGGTACGGCACCAGCTCTGATGCAACCAAAAGGCCTAAAGTGACCCCAACAGCCTGAGCTGCCAGTGAGGTGGCAGGGCAGGGAGTCCTGCTCTCTGGAAGCTGCTTTTAGAGGTGTCTCTGAGGTTCACCTCTAGCCTCCAGCCCCTTTGAGTCCTTGACGCCATTTTGCATGCCCTACCCCAGACAGCACAGTAAACTCCACTTGGAAGGTGGTTTCTATTCCTTGCAACCAAGTAACTCCTACCTGATTGGCTCCCGAAGGCCGTCACCTGTGCTCACAGCGCACGCGGGCACAGGCCTTGCTGCTCCACGGGCAAACTCCTCCCTCCCCTGTCTCCCCACCGGAGTCCACCCTTCACACGCACGAGCCCTCCGTGCCATGTCCCACTCCTGTCACTGTTAAGACCATAAACCAGGGCTTAAACAAGCATTTGTTAATCGTGCAGTTTCTGTAGCCAGGAGTCCAGGGTCAGCTGAGCTGGGTGTTTCATGGAATCTCACCTGCAATCGAGGTATCAGCTGGGGCTGGGTCTCATCCGGGTTCAGCTGGGGCAGGGCTACCCTTAAGCTCCCCCTGGTTGTATTGGAACTCATGCCTTTGTGGCTGTAAGACCACAGCTCTGGCGGCTGACTGGCCGTCACCCACCCAGTGGCCGTCCCCGGCGTCTCGGGCTGCCTGTCATTCCTGACACGTGGGCTCCAGTGTGGCCACTTCTTCACCAAGGACAGTCTCTGGAGGGAGTCTGCTAGCCAGGTGGTCTTTCCTGATAGAATAGGACCCTGCAGTGACTTCCCTTCACCTGTCACATTCTGCCTGTAGGAAGCCAGTCACAGATACTGTCCACACTCAGAGGAGGAGATTAGGGGATGACACAAGGGAGCAGACGCCAGGATGTTGGGGTCACGGGCGTCAGCTAAGGATCCGCTGGCCACAAGCATCAAGACATCATCACATGTGTCACATGGGGGGCATATTTGAGTCAAATATTTATTTTGGAAGAACCAAAAGGAAAAATACACATCGGGATCCTGGTTCCACCCCCTCTACTTGTATTTAAATTCAGTTTTTATGTGCATCAATAAATTATATTTGAATGATGAAAAAACATTTGCATGTCATTGCATGTAGGAACTGAGTTTTTGTTTTCATATCGGGATGCTTAGACTTGAAGCCAGGTCGGTCTTTTTTTTAAGATTTATTTAGTTAGTTATACAAGAACTAGGGTACCGGCCAGAAGCGTGGGAGGGTGAGAGGATTCACCAGAGATAGAGCAGGGAGCAGAACAGGCCGCCAGACCGAAAACACTGCTGAGAGGAGCAGCAGGTGAGACAGGAGAGGTCTGCCGCACCATGTGGGTATCCTCTGGCTGGCTGGGAATCGAGCCCACACTTGCAGAGGCTGTGGACATCTACACAGCACGGCGCTCAACCTGCTGCACCACCAGCAAGGCCCTTGAAGCCAGGTCTTGTAAGTCATTTCTGTGTGTTGTCCGGGTGCTTATTGAGCCTTACTCTGACACACTGGCCTAGACCCCGGGAGACTAACCTGAGCCATGCAAGCGGCCTTGGCCAGAGGGAGCTTGCAAACAAGCCTGTAACAGAGGGAGACACGGAGAGGGAGGAGCCAGGAGCTGCAAGACTCACGGAAGGAAGGGCCAAGCTTTCCTGACGAGGGTAGAGAGGGCGCTCTGGGCAGAAGGAACAGTCTGTGCAGCAGCTGTGACGTGAGAGGTGACAGGGAACTAGTGGGCAGTGGGCGAGGGGGAGGCGCTGGAGCATGGAGGGTTTATGACTGCATGGATGTTGGCCGAGGGCAGCGGGCGCCGTGGGGAGAGGAGAGGCATGGCAGTTTGATTTGTGTCTTAGCTCCCTGAGGCTGCCATGCAGAAAATGGACAACGTGGGAGCAAAACTAGACGAAGACCCCAGAAGGAGCTGAAGCAGGCCTGTGAGGGCAGCGGCTGCGTGGGAGGCCAGTGGAGTGGCCGGGTGAGCACGTCCTTAGGAGTAGAGTCGGCATGAGTTTCTGGTGGGTGGTGGGCCTTCCCCAAGGGAAACCTCATCACCAGGGCAGCCCAGAAGGCCACTGTCAGGTCAAGGAGGGCTTGGAAGTTGTACAGTTCCCAAAGGCCAGGAGCAGGTGACTGGGCCAGCTCTTCAGTCACCCTCACAAGCTCAAGGAACTAAATTGGTACAGGAATAGTGGGTGCTCCTTGGTCATAGGTACCTGGGCTAGGTGGGCAACCAGGCAGGGTGGGGGTGGCTGGTGGATGTGAGACATAAGCCGGATGCCACCTGTGTTCAAAGGTCCTCCATCCATTCATTCACTGTGTATTGTGCTAGGTACCAGTGTGAGGGACATGGTCTGTCCTTGTGGAACTTTGCTTCAGTTGGGAACACAGTTGAGCAGTCACTAATAAAGTGTAATGCCTGCTTGGAAGGGGGTGATCTCAGAAGGCTTCCTGGAGAAAGTGATGTTTACACAGAGACTAGAATAGGAGTTGGCCAGGAAGGGAAAGAGGGATAGTTTAGACAGAGGGAAGAGCAGAGGCCAAGACTTACTGAGTGGATATTTAGATGCCTTTGAGGCCCCCTGCACACCAACCACTATGGTAGAGGCAGGCGGGAAAGCCTGAGGGTGCCATGACCTCACCCTGCGAAGGGAGAGCCAGCCCAAGTGGGAGCAGGAGAGGGCTGGCCCTTGGGGACCTTGTAATTCCCATTGAGGAACCTGGGCCTCTACCTGGGAGTCTGGGAAGGATTCTAAGCAGGGGAGCAGCTTGATCAGCTTCGTTCTCTGCCTGTGAAGGAGATTGGGTGAGACGAGAGGCAGGAAGGCCAGCCCAGAGGCTGGTGGCAGCGATCCAGGAAAAAGATTGCCATCAGGGGGACAACTCCCCCTGAAACACACTTCTGACCCCAATCGGCAGCAGAGGTCTCGGTATGACATCCAGAGCAGCCACTGGGCCTGGACTGAGGAGCAGTGCTAGGGGGAGGGAGCGTAGGACTCCAAAAAAGTCCACAGGACTCCTCACTGAGCAACTTTGGCCCTTGGAGAGGGACACTGAGCCCTCTTGGCCCGGACACCACCTCAGCTCCTGCCAGGAGCCAGTGAGAGGGCCAGCAGCCGCATCAGCAAAAGGTCCCCACAAAGGCACATACCCAGGAGGGCCCTGGTGTGCTTTTGTCCTCCCAGGGCTACCAGTGGATTCGCTGGAAAAGCCAGCTCCTCTGATGAGGGCAGCGGCTGAGCTAATACACTTCCTTTCTGACCAGGCTGATCCAGGTGCTGAGAGCATCCAGGCTCAGAACATGTCAGGGGCTGGATGACCCGGTGGCTCCTCGGCCCCAGGTTTCCTGTCCATGTTCCTTTGAAGTAGGAAATTTGGGTCCCTGGAAGGACGATGCCTGTAAATTCTAATCCGTCCCCACTTTGTCCTAGATCTAGAATAATAGCTCGTGGCCCTGGGCTAATCCAGAGATGGTCTCAGGGCACATTCCGGTGGCCTTTCTTGCTCTCACCTGTGCCTGTGGCAAACACAGCCCCGCAGGCCACTCCCTGAGGGCTCGGGATAGAGAAATTAGATGGCTCTCCAGGAGTGTAGAGGAGGTAGCTCCTTGGTCAAA